AGGTTCTTAGTAACAAAGTGAGTCGCCTGGTTACTTGATGGCAGGTTTCAAGTGGCCATACCAGGACGACGTTAGTAGTGCTTTGTGTTTTGTGTAAGGAAGTGCCTGAAATGTTTCTCTCTAAATTAACTAGAAAACTACATCATTCCGAAAATGCTGAATTGAAATATGATTTATTAGGGTATAAATCAAGGAGTTAAGAGCACGGCATCAATCGGCGAAGAATGTCGGAAGGTGAATTCAAAGTGCTGTATGGAAATTACATAATTACGATTTTTGTGGAGATCTTCATTTGCATTACATAGAGCTGGTATTTTTTTAAAACTGCGGAAATAATAATCTCGTCCGTGATGAAACTATCAGAAATCACTACCCACAAGGTAAAAGATCAGACCTAGGTGATTGCCTGGTGAATCGCTATGTAACGAAGAGCTAGTTATCGTATGTTCTACACTGTTCGTTTTCTTGGGTGAATCACCAAGCGACTCGCCTTGTCACTAGTCACCTAGCTTGTCATCTCCGATGTGGTCTTAGACAAGGTCCAAAATATCATGGCTCTCTTCCTGGAATACCTTGGCTCTACAATTTCAGCTCAACGACAATTTTTCCCTAGACAATTATAAAGATGGCCATTTTTACACTCAAAATTGACCATATCCGCACCTCTCAAACAGTGAAATGTCTCAAAATTCCACAGGTTTTTGATATATAAGGATCTTAATTTCCAACCTTTCTCAAACATAGCGCAAAGTTCTAAAATTCCATTCATTCCACTAGCTCAATGGTTATTCAGAGTTAGGTGCGAGTTAATTTACTTTATTGTGATCCCAGAATAGTCATCTGTGATGTCCGATATGTGCTCTATGTGCAACAGGCAGCCTCGAAAAGATTGTTTTTCACTTTTTAGCAGAATGCCCAGTTTTAACGGAAATCCGAGTACATGTAGGCTTGCCCAGTTGACAGGAGAGCTCCTAATCTCTTTACTAAAAAACCCCGAGTTCTTAAATTTAGTAAAGTTTGCGATGGAGCCTGGAACTACAGGAAAGAACCAGTTTTTTATTTCAATTATTTAATGTTTATTGCATATATATAAGATATATCCTGGTTAGTTATATGTTAGTTATTTCTCTTTTGTTCATCCCTTGAGAACAAATTTTTACCCCTGTTTTATTGGTTTATTAAAAATTTATAGTCCGACTCCACCAGATGGTTGATAACCATTGCCATTATGTGCATTTTAGTTATGTGCAATTTTTTCTCTTTTGTTTATCTAATAACGCAACTTTTTTATTCATTCATTCAAAGCCCAATCTACTAATCATCATCAGGTTGGATTTAACCGATATAACTATCTATAACCTATAGTAACTGCATTATGCTAATAGTACCCAGAACCCCTTTGACTTTTGATCATTCCCAACATTTTAGTATGTTTATTGCTGTTTTGGTCTATCAGATGCATTTGACGTATCTGACGTGTTGGACACGACACCAACAATAATAGGCAAACGAAAATGACCAAATTACTGATAGTACGTAGACCCCAAGAGCCGGAAACAAACCGAGAAGCTATTATCAAGGCAATCAAGAAAAATAAAAATCCTGAGTTTGGCCATTTCTGCTACCACAAGAGGCATATTTTCGATCTACACTCCACCACTTACGCTCTCATTCATGTCATTTATAAATAAAAAGAACAATACGGGGTTAAGTAGGCAACCCTGCCTCACTCCGTCTCAAATTTGTGCTTGAAACCATCCTTTGCTTTGGACTACAATGTTCTTCCCTTCATCCCAGTGCTTAAATTTCTGAAAATTGTATTACTTTATTAATAACATCTATCGTTGATAATTTATTGAAAAATGGCATATTTAAGCACTTTGAAAAGGTAAAAGTTTCAAAAATTAACAAATAAAAAGTAATTACCCTTGATTTTTGGTCTTGCGTAATAATTTTTATACCTTTACCACGAACTAATAGGCGTTTATTCAAATACAAACTCAATCAAAAATATTCTTTTGTTGTTGGAAAAACGAGGTTAAAATTTTTTTTGGGTCACGGAGTATTGTGTCGCATTGCAATCTGGTACGAGATCAAAACCGAGACAGCTTCGGGGAAGGACACTGCGGCTTTTCGTGCTGAATCGTTTTTCAGCTCTTGCCTCAGGTTTAAGCTGTACGACTTCATTGTTAAGTCGACAACATTTTGTTTATTTGGTGTACGATTGCTTCGTGATGCCGCCGCGGCCGGGGGTGGACGATAAATCCGCCTCAAGGGCAAATAGGGCTGCGGATAATCCCAACAAGCGGTTCAATTCGATTTTCCTTTTCGTCGACGTCGGGGATTTTTATAAAACATTTAACAACGGTATCGTACACATCACAATACTTTTTTTTGTGATTCTTAATTGAAATTTCATAGGCTGGGCCGAGATTTGAACCTAAACCACTAACACGATAAATACAAGATACCCTAACCCCTCATCTTTTTTATATCTCGCGTTTAAATCCGACTAATTTACTTTTCTCTTCTCCAGTGAATTTTAGGGTCAGAACAATTAAGACGGTAAGCAACTCTTTTGTGTTTTATACTATTTCTAGCCTCTCTGTATCTTACAAACTCTAGATTTTGTGCTCACCACCCCAGAGTACTCGATATTCCTCGGTGTGATTGGGGTTAAGCCCCTTCATTCGGGTTAATAAATTACATTCACACAAACTCCAGACTTTGTTCTCACTACCTCAGAATATTCGATTTTCCTCGAAGTAATTGGACATATGCCCCCCCATTCGCTCTAATAAATTATATTTACACACCATATTTGGTTCACAATACAACAGAATACTCGATATTCCTCAAAGTAATTGGAGATATGCCCCTTTCCACTCTCGCTAATAAATTATATTTTCACATCAGACTTACTTCTCTCGGTGTAATTGAGGTTAAGCCCCTCCATTCGCTTTAATGAATTATATTCACACACCCTATTTGGTTCACAATACAACAGAATACTCGATATTTCTCGAAGTAATTGGAGATATGCTCCTCTCCACTCACGATAATAAATTATATTTTCACATCAAACTTACTTCTCTCGGTGTAATTGGAGGTTAAGCCCCTCCATTCGCGCTAATAAATTACATTCACACAAACTCCAGACTTTGTTCTCATTATCCCAGAATACTCGAAGTAATTAAACTAATTGTGAATAATCCCCTCCATTCACGCTAATAAATTATAATACATTCACACACACCAAACATCGTTCACACTACCCCGTAGTATCGATATTCGTCGAAATAACTGAGGATAACCTCCTCCGAATCTCGCTAATAATTTTTCCATTATTAATTTCCATTCACCCTAATAAATTATAATACATTCATACACACCAGACATTGTACTACCCCCCGAAATAACTGAGGAAAACCCCCTTCCATTCTCGCTAATAAATTACATTCACACATTCCCCAGAGAGTCGATATTCCTCGGTGTAACAAAATATGATTTAAACTTATTTATATAATTTGTAGTTGTTATATTTGATTATTTATTATAATATCACTTGATGAAAATAATACACAATTATTTTCTTTGAGGTGCACTGCGGTTAATAAAATACTCAATATTGCTCGACGTAATGAAACTAATTGGGAATAATCCCTTCCATTCACGCTAATAAATTATAACCCATTCATACACACCAGACATTGTACTACCCCCCGAAATAATTGAGGATAACGCCCTCCCATTCTCGCTAATAAATTACATTCCACATTCCACAGGGTAGTCGATATTCCTCGGGGTAATAATAATATTATTTAATCTTGTTTACATGAATAATATTTAGTTGTTATATTTGATTATTTATTATTGACGTGGACGAAAATAATATGCAATTGTTTTCGTTGAAGTGACTGCAGTTAGACGATTTTATGCTAAGTTTAAGCTTCTTTGATCTATATTTAAATCAACATTGTACTTGATTCTTTAGAATTCCTGTTCCTTTGTGTATTTGACATTCGACGCTATTTTTATATACATGCAAAATGCGAAATATTTTGTATCTTTCTTTGCATGTTTTTAAGAAATATTTCTTTAGCGTTTATGCTCTAACGAGCATTTTTTATTTCCTGCCTTGCAGGTTTATTTGTAGAAATACAGTTTTGTCGTCTCGTTGGATCTTTTGAAAATTTTGCTTATTGCTCTTTTATTATTGGTTAAGCGACCGCTAGCAAATGATACATAGATAATTTTACTTTTTACTTGACTTTTTTTAAATTATCCGTAAAATTATTATGTTTTTATTATTGTTCTCTTTTGGAAACAAAAAGAGACAATCTATATTTCAGAAAAACATTGAAGCAATCAGAATAAAATCGTCCGATCGTGTAAATCCAGATTGACATTTAAATTAACAGATCCAAAGACTGATAACGGGCTCGGGGCCCAAAAATTAATTACCTTTTAACCCAGCTCTTTTGATTGACTTCGCTGAAGCAATTAACCAAACGCTTTATGACATTAACGGCCTCAATCTAACAGGGCTAACTGTTTTACTCGCAATATAGCACAAGCCGACATTTGAGAGGGTTTGTTTCAGCAACGGTTGAATAGCAAGTAGTTTCTAACTGAAAACGGAAAATCATTGCTTAACATACTTGAATAATTATGGTCCGTTTAACTTATTTATTCATGTAACATTACCATATTCGGTTGAGTATGACAAAGATTGGATGATTTTGTTTAGGAGAAAAATGGTTTTATATGTTCCAAGACTTTATGTTATTGAGACAATTTTGACGTTCGTCAATCTGGCTTTTGGCAAATCGTTAATTTACATTCGGACACGCCCATCAGCGGAAGTCGACGATGCTGCATGCTAAAAGCTGCACGTTCCCGGAAACGACTTCGGATATGAACTATGAATTCAAAATCCGACGCCGGTTTGACCGATGCGAGTACAATTTTTATAATCGGGCATTTCTTTTCTGTTTCAGGTCTAATTACATGGGACAAAGAAGACTGTCACGTCGACCTCGAAAAAGAATTAGACACTATCACCGCCCAAGCTCCGGAAGGCGAAGAAGCAAAAAACCGTAAGTTTTTTTTTTCAGATGACACAAAAAAAACTATGATTTAAAGCACCAATTAATAAATTATTATCACAACTTTAAATCAACATTTATTTAGAAATCGTGAGATGCGGTCTGGTGTGATGTAGGTTTGAGAAAAACATTTTCTTTATCGTGCCAATGTTTCGATCTTTATTGAGATCATCTTCAGGGCCTGGAATCAACCTAAACCAACACAAATCAAAACCTAAACCAAACAGTTATAGATGTCGATAACCCTATTACTCACAGGACAACAAGAATATAAGACATCTAGCCGCAAACGTAATAAAAAAGCAACACCAACTAACAAAAGAACAAACAAAAGTAACACTATTGTAATCATAATAAAAATATTAATCAATTTTATATTTAGTAGTTAATTGACCAAATTATTATTTCAATTAATTATTCTTTTTATATAAGGTCTTCGTCGAGATGAAAAAGTTACTGTCACGAGCGGGATTCGAACCCGCGACCTTCGGCTCACGATAGCTCAAGTGGTTAAAACAGCGGCGTATTGAGCCGAAGGTCGTGGGTTCGAATCCCGCTCGTGACAGTAACTTTTTCATCTCGACGAAGACCTTACATAAAAAAAATTTATTGAAATAAAAAATATATTGACGCGTTTCACCACTGCATCATCTTCAGTGAGGAACAGTCTTGTTGTCTATTTAGGTTCTTACATACCTGCATTTACGATGAGAAGTCTCTTACTGAAAAGACAGCAGCCTTAATAAAAACAAAAATATAACGTTCGCTGTAGGACTAGAAGAAAAACAATAGCGTTCACTTCAAAAAAATAAATTTCCAAACTTAAAAAACCAACCGAAAACATCAAAATCACAAGCTACACTAATAACCACCCACGCCAAAACAAAGTTGCCGCAATAAGACGCATGATAACCGAACGAAAACTATTTCACTTACCACATAGAACAAGCAATAACAAAAATACCATAAAAACGCACCATAATGATTGACAAAAACACAAGGCTAAACACAAAATAACAATAAATTTCCATTATTTAATTCACATTAATAGGGGAAAAAAACATAGTAACACACTTGGAAAGAGAAAAATTCAACTTTGACAGACCCTTCCAAGTGGTCATAAATAATAGAGACCTTTGTAAGAAATGTTAACCCCAAGTTTCAAGAAGGCCATATAGGGGTAAAAGGGCTGAAGTATACTCTATCAAAGACCCTTGGATTAATCCCAACATTTTGTGCACAACTGAAGGCCTAAATATCAAATAATAGCAATTAAGACGTGAGGAACCTGGGTTGTTCTGGGTGTGCTGTGTTGGCTGGCCTGGGTGGATTCCGGCGGTGGTCCACGTGCAAAGGGCAAACGGTCCCAGGGAAATTCGGAGGATGTGGACTTTTCCAGGGGCATCTGTTGTTTATCCACATCCCCCAAATGCTTGTGGAACTATGGCGACAACGGGTGGTATAGTGTGGTTCGAGACTCGAGACCCCGAAACGGCTCACCTCATGTTCTCATCCACGGCCCTTTTTCTCAATACGAGCTCCTTCATTCTATCCTGTGACCCCTCCTAACCATTGGTTACAAGGGGATATCCGGGCACAAAATAAAGGTGCAGCCCAGAGGGCGTGGCAAACTCTCTAAAGCACAAGCTGTACTCGTGTCGGCATGGGCGGCGGGTGCCTTAGCAGAGTCACACGAGGGCCAGTGCACTAGATCCTATCTGCAAAGACGGGGGAGGGTGTATGGCCATCTGTACCACGGGGTAACTGAAAAGTTTCAAATTCAGCCCTAGTTACACTGGGAATGGTTTCGTGGTGGTGCGTGGTGGCGCCCCTGGCGGGAACTTAGACAGAGGCTGTCTTCTATCTGTGACCTCAGTGAAGCTTGCGTATGGCCAACGTAAAACCCCCCGGCCTCACGGGAGACGTTGCGACCGGACGACAGCATGTAAGCGTTAAGGACATAATGATCATGCTATAGTCCCTCGAATGCGTAAGTAAGCGAATGGAAGCGGGTAGTGAGTCGGTGTCTTGGACTCGAGTATGCTTTGCATTTTTGTGCGTATGACCGGCGTGGTACCCTCGGGGAAGCGAAGGATCGGACCACCTAGGCTGAGCCTATGGCGTCCCTCGAATGCGCGTGACAGGTGTAGGCTGAGCTCGATAAGAGACTTTACCGTAGGCGGTGCTCATCTACGGGGTGGTTAGCCATTCCACTTTAAACTAAACCCCTGCCGGGGCATTCCCGGAAGTTGCTACGCTGGGGGAGCCTCTATACTCAGAGAGATAGAGTGGCCTTCTCTATTTAGGGAGTACGCGGAGGGGGGGGGACGGGCAGATGTATTTCGGCCTGTTAGCCCCTCGCGTGCGGCATACGACCCGATGCACAATGCGTGCGCGACCATTCGGACCCGATTCGGAGTGGACAAGCGGAGCGCGTGGTTGTACTGGCCATTAGGGGCTGGGAAACCTCTACACCAATGCTGCGGTGGTAACACCGTGCGTCAGCTCTCATCTTGAGAATCAAAACGTCCGATAAGGCCGAATAGGCTAGGTGCGGACGCTAAAGATCCTCTTGTCTTGTTGGCGATGAGTACTCGGGAACACAATCCCCCAAATGCTACCGAAATTAAGTGTAAACTCGAATGTAGCGGTGTACGGGGTACCCTTTGAAAGTGGCCCGGGTCGGTCGGCGCGGGCCCTTGGGGTAATTATAGTTCTCACCAACAACTGAATGTCTGTAAAAAACAGTTTGTGCACAGGAATCGATAAAGAAAAATATGAATTGTGTACAGATGCACATAGTCTCAGACAGGCGGACGGCCATAAAGGTACCAAATGTGTGCCTAAATTGCTTCATGATTAGGCAAGCAAAAAGATTAAATTAAAGTGGATTCAGTGGGTTCCCGGACATGAAGGCATGGAAGGAAATTAACAAGCTGAACAACTAGTCAAATAAGGGGTTGCCCTTATAGATCAGAACCACAACTAGGTGGACCGGGAGTGTGCGCTTAAGTTTGAGTTGGAAAAATGGAAAAACTCTAGCACTGGACAAAAGTGCCGAGTATTAGGCAACTTAAGAAATTCTTTCTCAGCAGGCAAGATTTGAAAATTGACCTCTATACAGACCACTGCCCTCTTAACTACTACCTAAAGAAAATGGGCAGGCAAAGACTCTGCCAGGAGGAACCAGAGACATCGTCACATTGTGAATGCGAAGCATTAGCCCGGTTACGGTACATCCACTTCGGTAAGACATTTCTCACACAAAGGTCCTTGTAGGACAAAGTGCACTATCCAAGGTATAGTTATAATTGAAAGGGATTGTACAGTAGAACTATATAGTCGTAGTGCAGGAAAGGATTTTAAAAAATCGTTTTACCTTCAAAAACCGTTAAAACAAACAAAAACCACTTGAAATAAAAACAGCACTTAGGATTAAAAATAACACAGGTAACACTAAAAAGAAACATACTCACAACTAGCATAACCTTGTTGCCACCTGGAGGAGTATTCCTGAGTACTGCAGCTCTATACAGTACTTAGTACTTCTTGGCTCCAATTTTTGGGAGCTCGCAACCTGTGAATTGAGCACCCGTTGTTGGTGTTCTTCAATTGAAGAAACTCAATTTCAGGGGCGCTGAGATCCGATCTCGCCCCAGATCTTCCATTGATGAATGCCATGTCAATTGTCATTTTACCGGTCCCCTCAGGCGTAGACTGCTTATTAAGCTTAATTGAGGATTTATAGGATGCTCCCCTGTGGCCACTTCTTACTGAAGAGCTTAAAAATATAAAACCACTCCATGGTAAAAAAAAAATCATTTTCACACTATTAAAAACACAACGTAACAAAAACCGCAAAAGTATCAAAGAAGACAACATTAAAAAACTAACACTATACAAAGAAAAATATAAAATAATTGACACCCTAGGACGGATCACGCCTCTAGAGAATGCCGGCCGACCCCATGGCAAAGACAGACAATGAAACAGTTCCTCACTGAAGATGGCGCAATGCCAAAAGCGTTTGAGAAACATCAAAAACCCATTAAGCGACCCAGTGTCGATTTCAACATATGTTCAACGACTCACAGGCTAACAACAACCGTCATATTTAAAATCAGACTACATTGACAAATTTTATTTATAAACAACTTTAATTGTAAAAACACCAAATAAATAAATTCCCGAAAAACATCCAAGAACCACTGATGACAAATCCAAAAAATACCATCACACTAACATCAATCTACAACCAAACAAAAATGGCAAAAAGGAGGGAAAGTTCAAAAGGTTGGGTTGAGATGGGAAGTTAGTGCCCGAGTGGATCGAAGTCACGATAGCTCAAGTGATAGAGTAGCGGCGTATCAAGCCGAAGGTCGTGGCTTCGAATCCCGCTCGTGACACTGATTTTTTTATCTCAACTAAAAACCTTAATTATTTGAAAGATATTAATTGGTCAAGCGGACCACGAAAACTAGTGAACTACAACCAAATCTCACAGCACTTACAAAATACATAAATAAAACTAGTCATAAACACTATTAACTGGCCTCCGCATTTGCAAAACACACTGTCAAAAATACCACCAAATATCATTTGACACAACAAACCAATATCTATTGATTAAAGGGAACAATGAGCGTAAACCAAATAAACGAATACGCACAACTATTCAACATACAGACGAATGAACCAAACTAGTTATCATGGTAAAACAGATCCGTCGACGATGTGCCCCCAATAATTGTTAAAATCATAGCACACAGTAATGGATGAAACACATTAAATAGACCACAACCACAAACATAGGGAAATAAATGTACAAACTAACAAAGGAAAAAACAACACTGAAGACTACAAACACAAAAGGAAACTATGAAAAGAAAACATTTGGAAAAAATGTGAACGCGTTAAGGCTAGTTAGGGAAAACTACCCCAATGTGTATAGAAATACATGGGACTGTCAGAAAAATAAAATAAAAGGTTTAAAAAACATTAAAATCGTTTAAGGACGACAACAGAAAATCTAGCTGGTGATTAATCTCAAGAACACCAGAAAGAACGTTGTAGCAGAGTGGCTAGTGTCAGGCCCACGACTCTTAGATCCCACGGTCGTAGGTTCGATTCCAACCGTCGCCTCTTGAATTTCATGCCGTTTCCCTCTTTCTAAAATATTGTTCAATCATGATACCCCACAAAAAAGAAAAAACGGCCAAAGGAAGTCCGACCGTAACAACTGAAAAATTTCAGACCTAATCCATCAAAAACCCAGACAAAAGATAGCACGGAAACACGCCTCCTCCTCTCAAGACCATATAAAAGAACTCTTAATAGAAATCAAACAGACCCCAACACTGAAGATGGCGAAATGCCGAACTGCATTTGACAGACACATTGTAAAAATGTGATGATATCAGACATAAAAATAAGCAAAAAATCCCAACCAATTTATTTTTAAGTTATGAATGTTTACTCCATAGTCACGCCATGTTCAGTAAGTAATAAATAATTTAAAAATGGTGTTTTTGTTTTTTAGGTGAACGTCTGATACAGTTCGCAAGCGAGAATTTAGTAACAGAAGTATTGATTTTCCCTCAATTAAACACATTAGTACAATGTATGCGAAATTTACTTTCAAGTTTCACAAGACATAGGCATATAATCCATGCTGGGTATACATGTGCAGGAAATGGTGCCTGGATGCTTCAGGTTGTTTTTATAATATTAAATTTTTTTTTTTAAGATGTGCGTGTTATGAACCATTTCCGTTTTAGGATGGGACGTATTCTTTTGCCGATTTCGCTTTAATGTATCAAGAACACGAGGTTCAGCGGGTGCTGAGGGCGTACGAAAACACGGTGACAGTCGATGTCCACTGTTGCCAGGAAGGAGACTGGAACAACCTGAAGGCGAAGGACCCGTTTTCGAAAGTGAGCCGGGTCAGACTAAACCCCAACGACAAGATGACTGCGACCAAGTCGATCCACGGATTCGTGAACTACTTGAAGCAGTATGTCGTCTCGGGCAACCTGGAAGAACTGCTAGAATCCTCGGAGGTCGTGGGCAACATCAGGTTCAGCCACCCGACGCTATACGTGTTCCCCGGTGGACAGGGTGACGCCGCTCTCTTCGGCATCAACGGATTCAACATGCTTGTCGACGGCGGGTTCGCGAGAAAATCGTGTTTCTGGGACTTCACCAGGCACCTCGATAGACTCGACGCGGTGCTGATGACGAGGATCAACAACGGAAACATCTTAGGCCTCTCGTCGTTGCTTCAACGAAAGAAAATGGAACAAGTCTACCCTCAAATAGGCCATTTCTTCTGCAATATTCAAGTTAGTTTAACTTTTACTTACACTTTATGTGTGGTAATTAAATGTCTAACTCGTGCACTCTGTTTCAGGAGAGAAAGCATCCTCTTTCACCGGATGGAGATAAGGATAAAGACCCTCTCGTGATCAACCTGATCGAATACGGACAGGAGATGGTTGCCAACCTGAGACATCTTCAGCTGAAGCCTCAATCGTGCTACAGAGAGTCGTCCATGGATCCAATCAACCTTTACCACAAAGTCGGTCACGGAAAGTTGGACATGTACGTTCTGAGCCCTTCGAAAGACTCGAGGGAAGTCAGGGACTTCATGGTAAAGTGGAATACAGTGGACTCGAAAATATTTTGTAGCCACAACCGTAGAGGTGGTGAGTTCAACTTCCCGCTGTGCAATAGAACTTCGATTTGTGCTCTTTTGGTGTGGCAGCCGGCAAATCCTGAGGACAACATCACTCGTATTTTGTTCCCGGGAAGTACTCCTCAACACAAAATATTCGAAGGACTGGATAGGTTAAAAAATTTAGAATTTATGAAACACGCCGTCTGTTCGGCTAAGACGCTGTCGCCTTCTCCTTCTTCGGTCGGTCTCAATATAAGAAGTGCGAGTAGGACAAAAGCGCCGGCGATAATAGACAAAATTCCGGAAAACGAAATGAAAGGAAAGGGTGTGGAGGCTGTGAAACCGGTTGTGAAAGTCAGTTCTACTGCTGACAAAATACAGAAATCACAACCGGCTAAAACTTCGAAACCGAAACAGGTTGATAAACCGAAGGATAAAATAAAGACTGATGTAGAAATGAAACCAGAGACTGTTAAGAATGATACAATTAAACAAACTGAGGCTGTGCAAAAATTAGAAAAACCGAAAGAGAAACCGAAAAAGTTAATTCAAAAACCGACAGCTGAAAAGAAACCCGTCACTGAAAAGAAGGCCACGGAGAAGAAAAGCGAAACGATTAAATCGTCACCGACTACGCCCAAAAAAGTAGCGGAAAACAAACTGACCGAAACTGCACCTAAAACGGAAGCGAAACCGAGATCTTCCATGAGGTCGAAACCATCACCATCAGCGACACCAGCGAAAAGTGCCAAAGAAGCTAACAACAGAAAAGTTTTAGAACAGAAGAGTCGAGAGTTGTCGAGATCGCAGAAGCCACCTGCAAAGAAAGAAGAACAGAAGAAAACCGAAAAACCCAGCGTTCCTCGAAAGACTTCTTCGCCGAGCAAAGCGGCTAAACCTTCTTCACCAGTAAAGGTTTCGAGGCCACTTTCGAAAAAACCCGAGGTGAAGAAAGCGGCGAAATCTGATAAAGAAGCACCAACCGATTCTGCGGTGTCCACGCCGTCAACAGCAGATGCTGAGAAACCAAAAGATGTCGCGGAAAAGGAAGAAAGCCCCGCAGAACTCCCGGCTGAAGAGAAAGATGATAAACCTTCGACACTTTCCTCCAAGGAGGAAGAAGAAGACATTTTAATAGTAGAAAAGGTTGAGATTGACATCATACAGCCGGTGGAGAGTCTGCAGGTCGTCGAAGAAGATGGTGAAAAGGCAAAAGAGCCTGAACCTGCCGCCCTTGAGACCGATGCAAAACTCAAGTCCAAAGATGAGCTTTTAGATGTACAGAAGTCAGCAGGAGGGGATACGTCCAAATCTAAAGTCGAAACGGCTAAAACTGAATCTCAAGAAACGTCCGTCGGTATTAAAGATCTTCCTTCTGAAAAACTCACGCCACCGAAAGATAAAGAAGGAAAGGAAAAATCGAACGAAATGGTTGAGCTAAGGATCCAAGCTGATGAGAGTCAGCCGGATGAAAAATTTTCAACGACTGTCGAATCAGGACAGACGACGACCGCACCCACCTTGCCGGAAGACGAAAGAATACCTTTGGACGATGTAAAAGAAGGTGTAGAAGAGAAACATATAAAAGAAGACACAAAAGAAAAAGAAAGCTCGGCCGTTCCCAAGCCCGAGCCAATGAGCTTACCGGAGGTTCCGATGGTGTCGTCTGGAGTGACATTCGATCAGAGAGCCCAGTTATTGAAAGATATCGTTAAAACACCCGACGAAGTGGCGGATTTGCCAGTCCACGAAGAAGCGGACGGTGGATTTTACGAAGGAAGCGACGCTGCGGCCAAAGAAATGTCAGAAAGTCGGGAAGATCTTGAAACTCAAAGCGCAAAACGCGACAAACTCGAAGCGGGCATGGAAGCCGAAGAGCTTAAATTTATTAAAGATGGATTTGAAAAAGAAGATAAAAGCAAAGATCTAAAAGAAGATTTTGATACGAGTACTCCGCTTGAAGCTGATACGACGAAAGAATCAGTTTCCAAGGATCAACCTGAAGAAAAACTCGAAGTAAACGAAGTCGTTCACAAAACGCTAGATGCACCCAGTCTTGAAGTTGAACGAAAATCGTCTCTACCTGAAGGTTCAGAAGACGAAGCGAAGTTAGATAAAGAAAAACAAGAAACTACGGAAGTTCTTAAAGAGGAGATTGTGAAAGAAGAACCGGAAGAACGAGAAGAAGGGGAAATTGCTGAGGCAAAAATTAAAGGGGATCTAGATATTAAAGAAAAAGACGAAGACACAAAACCGGAAAAAGAAGAACAACAAATGGAGAAACAAGAGGATGAAGAAGTCGAAATTGCAACCGCAACAAAACTACCAAAAGACATATTAAAATACGAAGCTACCCTTCTAGATGATGACGGTGAAGAACTCGAGGAAGACAAAGACAAAGAAACTGAAAAAGAAAAGCAAGAACTTACCGAAGAAAAAATCATATCTGATACGAAAGAGACAGAAAGTGAAAAAGTAGAATCAAAAGAAGAAAAGTTGAACACTGAGAGTAAATTGGACGTCACAAAAGAATCCGCAGAAATTGAAGACTTACAAGAACAGAAAATTGACGAAGAAAAAATTGATATTGACAAGTTGAAACCTGATGTCACAGAAATAGAAAAAGTTTCCGATACAAAAGATAAAGAAACCAAGGACCAAGATGTAATAAAAATTAGTAGTAAAGAACAAGAAAAAGAAGAAGAAGTCGAGAAAGATGTAGAAGATTCGAAAGATGTTGCTGACGAAAAGGTAGAAAAAGGAAAGTCACCAATCCAAAAACCTGATCAACCGGAAGTGCCTCCAACGCCAGAAGATGGCGTTAAAGAAGAATCTGTAGTTGAGAAAGCTGAAGATGTTTCAGCGGAAATTAAAAAAACCGAAGATCTCACTACGGCCACAGAAACAGTGATAGATGCAAAAGACACTGAAGTGGAAAAAGAAGACGAAAGCAAACCAGAAGAAACGCTTACTGATGGCGAACAATCAAAGGAATTGCCCAAAGAAGACAAAATTGAGCAACATGAAGAAAAATCTGCATCTGATGAGCTTGAAAAAGTCGAAGAAAAGTTTCTAGACTCGGAAAAGAAAGATGGACCTGAAAAGCAAGGTGATAAGCCAGAACAGACTCCAGTGAAATATATCAGCCCAGATGAAACTGCAGAAAGTCAAGCTGAAGAAAAAGACACCGTATGTGGTAAAGCATTAGAAGAAAAAGTCTATAAAGAAGCTGATGTTGTTATTGATGATGTCAAAGATTTAGAAGCTGAAATGTTAAGGAAGGCATCGACCGCGTCGCTATTAAAAGACGATGATATAACCCTCCCAGATAAAGAAGTATTCGAGATAATGCAGAACAACGATGGTATCATTTCTGATATCGAGGCGTCTATCATTAAAGAATCTCTACCAGGGACAATCATTGAACCGCCCAAGGTGGATACTTGGATTGGTGAACCCAAGGACTTAATCAGCCCGAAACCCGCTTCGCCAAAAGCGTCGCCGACCTCTCCGAAACCCGATTCGAAAAAGAGCTCATTAGGAGAAGTTACTGAAATGTCGGACAAACATGATGAGTCGAAAGGAACGAGCCCCACTGCACTTTCACCGGCTCTTTCCGTCAAAGAATCGGTTTCCACATCGCCTACAAAGAAGGAACCTGAATTGACGTCTGTTTCTCCAGCCGTCAAAACGCGTTCTCCGCAGTTAAGTCCCCATCTTAACGGAGAAGTAGACAAAGCTAAAATCGAAGCTTTGGAATCGAAGAAAACCCCATCGCCTAAAGAATCCCCCACCCATCTTAAAAAAGAAGATGACAGCCACTTCGATATTTCTGAAGACTCCCCGGCAGATATTTACAAGAAAGATTCACTCGTTTCCCTCGTGGATACAAAATCTGAGACATCAAGGGAAGTGTCTCCGATACCAGCTGAACACAAGATAACTCTAGACGCTGATAAATTTGATGACAAAGAGACTTTAAAAAAAGAGTTAGAATCAGCTGCATCACCGCCTATGAAACTCGAAGCCGAGTTCAAACATGATTCTGCTCAAGGATCGAGAAAATCTTCTGTGGAAGAAGAAATTGAAGTAAAGAAGGGGCCAGTCATTGAAGCTTTCCCTCTTCCTCCGCGAGATGATAAAAACAAAGATGAACCTGAAAAACCTGACGATTCAAAAGAAAAATTAAAGGAGGATTCGTCTAAGCCCGAAGCAGGGGCTGATGTTAAGTCAAAAACACCTACTCCATCAGAACCGAAAGTCAACGGTATCAAAGAAGAAGATAAAGCGTCAGGTTCTGGCACACCTGCACAAGTTTCTCCGACGCCCTTGCAAGAATCAAAAGAAAGCGAGAAAACCGAAGAAGCAGAAGCTTCCAGAGCGACGCCGCGACAACCATCACCTCAGCAGGATTCGCATAAGCCTCCCACGCCCGAACGACTATCCCCCGAAATCAAAAAAGACAAAACATTCGACACATCTTCGTTACCGGGCATTGAAAAATTAACAGATGTTAAAACGGCATCTCCAGTCCCGTCCCAAACCGACCAAAAAGAAGTAACTCCCAAGGTTTTATCGCCAGAACCTTTGGTTGCTGTCGAAAAAGTTTCACCAGTCCCTCCAAAGTTGGATGACGCCAAAAAAGAAGCAGTACTAAGCACTAGTCTTGAAACTCAGCCATTACAACCAGTAGAAAGTACAAAAGATGAAAAGACATCTGATGAATCTAAAGAATCTCCTGTACCACTAAAACCACATGATAAAGAAACTGCAGCCGAAGATGAACCAAAAGATAAGACAACCCCTGCTGCAGAACCCGCAGAAACAAAATTATCGAAATCTCCATCGCCGACCGTTCTTCAAAATGAAAAAGAGAAAGAATCAACTGAAGGAACTGCAACAGTTCCTCCCAAAAGTGAAACTGTATCTTCTTCTCCTGAGCCAGAAAAGAAAGACGATAGAGAAAAAACTGGCAGTAAAACACCATCTCCCCATTTCATGGAAGACAGCTCTTCGAAATTAGACGGGGAAAAAGAATTGTCGAAATCGAAAACTCCTTCGCCTCCTCCACAAAAATTAGACGGAACAACTGACACTAAATCGATATCACCGACTCCAAGCAAAGAATCACCAGTTCCTTCAAAACCGGAATCTCCAGTCCTTTCTAAGCCAAGTGACTTCACGTCTGAAAAATCAGAGTCACCAGTTTCGGCTAAAACTGAAGAATCTAAACTGACATCAAAACCAGGCTCGCCAACCGAAACAGACGAGTTGAAGGGCAAATCAGAATCCGTTTCAAAAGAAGAGGTACCTCCTCCATCTTCGAAAACTGAAGAATCAAAGGAAGCATCACAATCGCCAACTCCTAGCGCTGACGAATTGAAAAATGCCAAACCGGAATCACCAGCTCCATCTAAACCCGATGATATAGATGTTTCCAAATCAGAATCTCCATTCTCGATGAAAGAAGCAAAGGATTCGTTAAATGGTGAATTAAAGGAAACACAATCTCCTCAATCGCCTGTCTCAAAAATGGAAGCTCTGGTAGATTCTGGCATGGAAAACGGGCCGTCGAAAGACTCCGAAGACAGTAAACCATCGACTACATCTCCAACCATGTTAACCGAAACCAAAGAGCCTGCTCTTTCTAAATCACCTTCTCCTCTTCCTACCAAACAAGAAACGGAAACACCATCACCAACTCTTACCAAAGAAGAGTCGAAAACGCCCTCTCNCTCCGCTACCTACGAAAGAAGACTCAAAAGCAGCATCTCCACTCCCGGCAAAAGAAGAGTTGAGGACGCCATCTCCACCTGTTACCAAGGAAGAATCGAAACCATCAAGTCCACTTCCTACAAAAGAAGAATCGACACCATCAACTGTTCTTCCTCCAAAGGAGGATTCGAAAGCGCCATCGCCCCTCCCTACAAAGGAGGGATCGAAACCGTCAACTCCTCTTCCTGCAAAGGAAGAATCAAAAACCCCATCTCCACTACCCACAAAGGAAGAGTCTAAACCGCCAACGCCACTCCCAACAAAAGAGGAATCGAAACCCTCAACTCCGCTACCTACAAAAGATGACTCGAAAGCGCCATCCCCACTCCCGACAAAAGAAGAATCAAAATCCTCATCTTCTACTCTTACAAAGGAAGAATCGAAACCGTCAACTCCGCTTCCTACAAAGGAAGATTCAAAAGCACCTTCTCCACTCCCGACAAAAGAGGAATCAAAACCTCCAACTCCACAACCTACAAAGGAAGATTCGAAACGATCATCTCCAGCTCTTACTAATGTTGAGTCAAAAACGCCATCTCCAACTCCTTCAAAAGAAATGGATTCAAAAGCGGATCTTGCTGATTCAAAAATTGAAACAGCAGTCGAATCGATAAAAGAGGTGGTATTTATGGATAGCGTGGAACCACCCTGTCTTAAATCTGAGGCAACCGCTGTTAAAAATCTTCAAGGCTCAATAGAGACCCCATCTATGGGCCATTTAGAAAAATCGGCCGGTAGCGACCTCAGTCAAGTTTCTTCAGCCCCGTCGGACTCAGACCCTGTTCTGAAAAATAATCTAAATTTAAAAGAAGTTAAAGAAGAAAGTGATAAAAGTTCGCCAAGGCAATTTTCTCCCTCACCTAACAAAGATATCGAAAATGGTTATATGTCGGAAGAAAACGCAAAGGATAGTTCCAAAGGCAGCACTAAGCAAGTTTCACCAGTGCCTAGCGACTCGCCTAAAATTTCTGACGCTATTATTATGAGTGAACTGGAAGCATCGTTGAACGAGAGCGCCCAAGAATTAATCGACGAGGTAAATATCAACGAAAAAGATTTGGAGCGTGGAAAGGAAGAGGGTAAAGTGACTGATATTTTAACAACGGCAGAAAGAATAGTCTCGTCACTGGACAGTACAGTTGAATCCGTTATCGACAAAGGCAAGAAATATTCTGAATCATTTGAGAAAAAAGGGGAAGAAAAGTTGAATGAACTGGCTGAAAAGATTTCAGATAAAAAATCTGAAGTTGAAGAAGAAGTGAAGCGACTGGAATCGAACGTCGAAAAGGCCGTCACAAGCGAAGTTGAATCTCTGAAAAAAGAAGCCACAGAGGTTAAAGCCGCAGTAGAAAATCTTGTAAAAGAAGAAATCGGCGAAAAGAAAGGACAAGTCGAAGCTGTCGTTAAAGAAAGTTCAGGTTTCTTTAGCGGATTGAAAGCATCCGTTGTAGATTCTATAGGAAAAATTACATCCGAAGTATCATCCGCATTAAAAACTGATACAAAAGATCCAAAACAAACAGAATCAGCCGTCGAAGTTTCTAAGACTGAGAAAGAAGAGAAAGTAACAGAGCCAGGAGAAGAGGCTAAATCACTCGAAGACATCAAAGACGTTACCACCAAGTTCCTCAGTATGGAAACTAAATTCTACGGTGGTGATACGGTTCCTTCCGATGCCTCGTCCAAAGTTGAAGCAAAGGTGGTCGAACAGGGGGCAGAAATAGTAGAGGACGTTTTAAAGAAAGGTAAAGCGATGCTAAATGAACAAGAATGTCGCGCTGCTCAATCCAGCGAGCCCGTGTTAGTAAGCAGTGCAATAACTGCGTTGAAAAAAGAGTTTTCCAGAAGCGCTACTCCCTCCGACGTTGCCAGCGAAAAAGAAGACGGCAGATTCACTCCGAGGAGCGATATAAGCAGTGGGCAGTTGTCCCACGCCATCACTCACGGGTGGAGTCCGGCCGAAGGGGGCCACGACTCCGACGAAGACATCCCGAGCTCGCCGATGAGCGTCGCTTCCCACATACCGTCGCCTCCGCAGTTCGACTACGACATCACGAAAGAGTCCATGATGACGGGCTCGATTTACGGCGCCCTGCCCGAAGACGACGACTTCCCTCCGACGGTCAAACCGCCAGCCGATCCAATGTACACGTCCATGTACATCTCGCAATTCGACGACGAACTCACTCTCGACAGGGATTCCGCTTTAAGAACGGCCGAACCGACTTCGATTTCTGGTACGACCGGCAAACCAGGACCAGCAGGCCAAACAGAGCCGGCATCTTCGACTTCCACGACTACAAAAGAGGATACCAAAAGCAAAGGTGAACCTAAAGACCCGATTGGGAAATGGGACAAGCCTTTAGGCCTCCCTCCGCCGCCGGACCTCAACAGCAGGCAGTTCAACTACTGGAATCCTTATAAAGAATGGGGACAACCCCTCGGGTTACCGTCGCCCGCTCCACCGCCCAGGGAGGACACCGACGTCGAAGTGGACACGTCAGGAAGCGCCAAGACCACACCCAAAAAAGTGGCGAAGATGAACGCTGAAAACAACAAATTTGCCTTAAATACTGCAGGTCTGTATATTGGTCAAACCAACTAAAGTTTTGAAAATTATTATTATTAAACCACGCCTGAACAATTTATGCAATAAGTGGATAGGTACAAAAAAAAACAATTCGGACGTTAAAACCGTGAATGTGAGCCACTAACATAAACATTAGCCGTCTCGCACTGCACTTTTTTTTCTGTGATTTAGTTGTCTTGTGGATTCCAGGTTTACTTTTTGTATGAACTAGGGGAAGTATTTCGTGTTTCAGTGTAAAAACACCTATTGTGTATTGTTTTTATTTATTTTATTCTCCATTTACGGAACCATGGTTCTATTGTAAAGGGGAGGTCTTGGAGGGTTCTGCTAGGCTTGCAGATAGGATTGCTGTATCGTCAGCAAAGGGTAAAGGTGTTGAGGAAAGTCTACCGTGTATACATTGAAAAGTAACGGATCTAAGATGCAACCTTGGGAACAGCAGAGAAAACAAAATGGAAGAAGTTGAGGTTCAGTAGGTGACATGGAAAAAAAGATCAAATAGGTATGATTTTAAGAGGATATAGTATACAAGGTTTGAGTTTCAGCAGTAGATACTAGTGTCAGATCGAATTGAAACTGCTTATGCTCTAGGGATGAGACCAAAATCAACAAAATGATGAATTTGGCGGATTATCAAGTGGTAATTAAGAATGCCAAATCGGTGGTCAGAAATAATGTTGGCTGTGGATAGGATTTCTTGTAAGCACAATAAGAGGAAACATTTTCAGTTGGTGGAGGCTTTTGGATGTTGCTGATGTAGTTGGTATGATTGATAATGGTAGTAAGCGCAGTACTTCCTGCCAGGCAAAGCTATCGTTCAGTTGAAGATGGTGCTAAAACCAGATTTTGCCTTATGAGGAAGCTGACAATTTTGGATCACACTCGTGCTCCTTGAGGTTGAGGTTGACCTTTTTTACTTCACCACGTGTGAAGGATTTTGGTTGTAGGAACACAGTAAGAAAGCTAAAAATGTTCCATTTTTCTTCCTATAAACTAAACCACTACACTACTTTTATTTCAGTTTGATGCTTTAACATTACATTTAAAACTTTCCCAAAAGAGGCAATATGTTATCTTGGACCTTCAAATTCTATGAAGTAAGAGCAACATACAACTCGGCAGATATACTATTTCTTAATAAAAAAAAACACCATGAAAGAAAGTTAATAGAAATGATAAATGATGGAGTGAGTGTGGTGTTCAATCCTTTTTAAAAAGATAGTCCCTACTCACAGTAAGTTGTTTTGCAACGATCCGGATTCGAGCCTTNTCGAGAGATGTGGTTGTAGAAGTCTTTCAACCTGATGATGAGCTAAAATGCTCGAAATCCGGATCGTTGCAAAACAACTTACTGTGAGTAGGAACTATCTTTTTAAAAAGGATTGAAAGAAAGTTTATTTATAATTAATAAAACAGAGCGTCATGTAATTTATGGACAAAGGATTTCATTATTATTCAGCAGTACGAGATCAAAACTATATACCTAGGTTGATATAATAAACACTCATGATATGTTTTTTATGGTAACTTCCTGTTATCATAAAAAATTTTCCGGCCTGTTATTAACACTATTATATCAGTATAGAGGCTGAAAATGTTTAATGACTGAAGCAAGTTTCATGTGAGTTGATCATTAAACAAGACATTGAGGAAATTAGATGCCTAATTTATCGGTGTCAAACGCTTCTATACAATGAATTTAAAGCAAGGTTAAAGCAGGTAGACCCCCTGCGTCTAACCTGGTTTCTAGTTCGAGAAATTTCAATGATGGATTACAACCCTACAGTTCAATTATACTGTCAAGTGTCTGTTGATCAGGTGACTTTGATAAAGCAAAACACGATCTGGTACATTTCAGTCAGATAAATTACTATCGATCAGGGCTTGACAATTCACTAATTCTTTTAGACGGTTAATGTCTTACTGCCTACTTGCTCCTTGTTTATTGTTGTGTTTTATAGCTCCACAAGAAACAGATATAACTAGGAAACTTAGTGCTATAAGGTTAAGTTAAGTAGTAGGAACGAATATTGGTCTAGTGTGCATTCTTGTTTACAGCATTTTGTTAATCTTAAGATTTTTATTAGACCCCAAAGCACTTGTATTCTTCAAGCCTTGATTTTTCCTCTCCTAGGTGAGGAACAATGTTTCTTCTTCTTCCTGGTGATATCTGCACAGTCTTGTTCCCTCTGTTCTGAGTCCACAACAAACAAAAAATTGTATAACTAGGAAACATAATGCTATAAGTTCTTTGGTTGAAATGGAAAAGCTAGTGTCAGGAGCGGGATTCGAACCCACGACCTTCGGCTCAATACGCCGCTGCTCTAGCTACTTGAGCTGTCATGACTTGAATCCTCTCGGACACCAACTCATCTCAACCTAATGTTTTTCGATTTTTCCCCCTTTTCGCCATATTTTCAAATAGCCGAAGGTCTTGGGTTCGAATCCCGCTCGTGCCATTCACTTTTTTCTCTCAACTAAACACCTTAATTAATTGTTAAGGTTAAGGTTAGAAGGAGTCAGCCACTTTACAACCCTGCTCAGTGCAACCAATATTGGTCTATTGTGCATTCTTGTTTAGAGCATTTTGTTCATCTTAAGGCTTTTTATCAGATCCCAAAATCATTTGTATTCTTCAAGCTTGACTTTTCCTCTCCTAGGTGAGGACAAGTGTTTCTTTTTCTTCCTGGTGATAACTGAACAGGCTTGTTTCCTCTGTTCTGAGTCTGCACCCCCTTCAAATTCTACATCGTGCTTTTCATTTCAGGGAAGGAGGTTAACAACAGGACAAAGCGTTCCGAATCGCCGGTGAAAAGGATGCAAAACAAAGAAAGCCGTAAGTCGGCGTCCAACCCAATCTACATGGACCTCAGCTACGTCCCTCACCATGGAAACTCCCATTACGCCAACGTAGAATTTTTCAAAAGGGTCCGAGCAAGATATTACGTGTTCAGCGGTACAGAGCCGAGCAAGGAGGTGTTCAACGCGCTCCTGGAAGCCAAACAGACCTGGGAGGATAAAGATTTAGGTAATTGAACACATGCAAAATTTAAATAATTTGAAACAATTCATACAGATCTTGTAGTTTTCTTTTTTTAACAACAAATACACCTAGTTTTTTGAAAAATGTATACACACTACTGCCCACAAAAAAAAGTTTTGCATGAAAAATTGGTCAACTTTAAAAATGCATATTTTCTTATCAGCATTTTCAGTCACGGACATGCTGTACATCTCTTTTTTAGGAAATTTTACTCTGAATAAGATGGCTTTTTTAAATGTTTTCCTAGCTTCAGTCATTCACTAGTAAATTCAAATTTGGGAACATGTTAATTTTTGCACTTTTTGAGAAAAATTCAAAATTAGGCCGGAAATCGTCCTGGATCGGCACCTTCTTTTTCCTCTTGTAAATAACCCTTATCAACCCACTCTTATTGAAAAACTCTCCATCTCACTCACCCTCTCAAAACGGCACACAACAATGACACATCTACACAGAAAACAAACTCTACTAGTACAAACATTTTGATTAAGTTCACTAATTTCGTGATCCGCTGGACCAATTAATATATTACAATTAATTAAGGTTTTTTTAAAGTTGAGATGAAAAAAAGTTAATGGCACGAGTGGGATTCGAACCCACGATCTTCGGCTTGATACGCCGCTGCTCTACTACTTGAGCTATCGTGACTTCTATCCACTCGGACACTTCCCAATCAACCCCACCCTTTGAATTTTCCCTCCTTTTTGCCATTTTTCAATCGATTGGTTGGAAGTCACGATAGCTCAAGTGGTAGAGTAGCCGCATATCAAGCCGAGGGTCATGGGTTCGAATCCCGCTCGTGCCATTCACTTTTTCATCTCAACTAAAAACCTTAATTAATTGTAATATATTAATTGGTCAAGCGGACCACGAGATTAGTGAATTTATTGTTTTATATGTTTAGTATAGATGTGACGTATATGTACGTTATTCATGTTGAATTTGATTAATGATATTAACGTAGCTGGAACTGAGTTTTCACGTGTCTGTTCTGTAATTGATGCTGTGTTTATCCCTGTTGACCATTTCTAAAAAGTTACGTTTATGTTTGTTTTATTCTGTGTGTAATATTTTTAGATTGTTGAAGTCGAAATTGTTTTTGTGTTCAAAATGGTGGGTAGCGAGTGCTGTAGGATTTTGCTTTGGTTGTTTTATGCAATTATAGATATGTTGCTTTACTCTCTTGTCCAGATTTTGTAGATTACGTCAGATTTTTTTGGTAATGGTGTGGGGTCTTTAATTTTGGAAAAATGTGTGTGAATTGTTTTATAGTTTATGAAAGCTATTTTGAAGTTATCGGAAGAGAGAAATGTGTTTAATTTATCTGATAGGCCATGAACGAATGGCCTGGATATGTACCTGGTTTGACTGTTTTTAATAGAAATGTGTGGTGATTAGTGACCGTTAATCGATAATTATTCAGAAATCGTGAGATGCGGTCTGGTGTGACGTAGGTAACATTTTCTTTATCGTGCCAACGTTTCGATCTTTATTGAGATCATCTTCAGAGCCTGGGATTTATAAACATTGTTTACATTTAACAAATACATTTAGGATGTGGAAAAGTGAATTTATACAATACAAAATATATTTTTTATATTCAATCAAAGTCCCAGGCCCTGAAGATGATCTCAATAAAGATCGAAACGTTGGCACAATAAAGAAAATGTTTTTCTGAAACCAGACCGCATCTCACGATTTCTGAATAATTGTTTTTAATAGAATTGATGTAGTGTTTTTAGTAATAGTAGGTGGTGATAGTATTGAGTTGCAGTTTTTGATTATCCTATTGATTATGTGTTTACGATAGTGACTGTTATGTAGGTTATGTTTGTATCTTTTTATGTTCTTGTGGTGAAAAGCTGGCTTAGGGTAATAATTCTGTGAAGTAGCCCTTTCACTGTGTTTATGATAGTATGAAGTGTGATGTAAAGTTTAGGTAGCGATTTGTGTTTCTTGGTTTTTGATACCAATATGAGATTAATGAGCGTGTGTATCTAAAAATGGTATTTTTTCGATTTTATGTTTAAATTGTAGACGTGGGTGAAAGCTGGTAAATGTTTTTAATGTAGTTAGAATTTGATCTGTGGGAACTCAGGGAAATGGTAATATATCATCTACGCATTTAGTGAAGAAGGATGATGTGAAAGGAAGTTGTGGTATAACTGACTTTTCAGGTTGCTACCCATGGTTAGGCCAAATAGTTGTTTGTAAAAATGATTGTTATATGGAAAGTATACAGCATTTCACATCTTACATGTATTTGTATAATGTAAACAGTGTTTATAAATCCCAGGGTCTGAAGATGTCTCAATAAAGCTCGGAACGTTGGCACAATAAGAAAAATGTTTTTCTAAAATCTACATCACACCAGCCGAAATCTCACGACCTCTAAATAATCATTAATTAATGGCCACTAACCACCACACATTTATACAAAATATTTTTAATAATTCAGGTGCTCCTGATTAAACACACAAAACTACAAGATCTTCAAATAAAAGAAATCTTTTTAGTAAAAACAAAATATTGATTCCCACTGAAACTTATTCTTCTGTTGCAGAAGTGACAATTATCCCGACGTACGACACCGACATTTTAGGCTATTGGATAGCAGAGAATGAAGAAACATTATCGAAATATAAGATCGACTTATCACCATCGGCAAGCAGATGCACAATCAATCTCCAAGACCACGACACATCTTGTTCAGCGTACAGACTTGAGTTTTAATTGCAGAATTGTCAGTCACCTTTTATTCTATCCAAAACCAATTTTTATCAAAATGAACTTGACATTTCCTAAATGTAGTTAGTTGATAATGTGACCATCACGTCCATCTAAAGACTACTTTTAAAAAATTCCATTTAAAAAAGAGAAAACTCAGAAAAAAAAAATCATTTAGATTCTTATATAAATGTTTGTCAAAGCTGTTGACACTCTTTTTACATCGCTAACTTAGAATTTTTTGGCTGTAGAAGAGATTTTTGCCACATATCGGGGAGTACATTGCAGTGGATGAGTTTTACATTAATGACTTTGTTTAAAATTCATTCCCAACGGTCCATTGGAGTTGAAATTATATTTGAAAGATTTTACAATTTCCAAATAACCTAAAACTCTCTTGGAACATCAAAAATGATTAGATATCACAAACTAAATCAGCTTTCTTTTTACATAGAAATATCAAATGAATATATTTAAATTTAAAAAAATAAAAGTGATGTTGGATTATTAGAAATGTTATAAGAGGAAAGTTTGCAGGACAGGGTAACCTATTCATTTATATTTAAAAAAATATTAGATACATAGTTAGAATATGAATATGTAAATATATTACAAGAAAAAAAAATGAAAAGACAGTTTATGTCATGTTTCGTTATGCCTTGTATTTTGTTTATTATCAGCGAAATTGCTTTATTAAAAATGGTTTTGTATAAATCATATGTGAGAATTTGTCCTGAGCTGGTGATTTAAAAAATTGGTTTAAAAAATAACATGTGATAATCATGAGATTCAAATTTGAGTCGAGAAACTTCTTTTCAATTAGGAAAAAAGAGAAGGTTTTTAAAAAGGCTTGAAGGCAAATCTCAACTGATGGAAAAACTTAAAAAACCTGCTCATGACAAGCTTTTACTGAGAATCAATCTAAATTGTTTGCACCTCTGAGTACGGCGTGATTAATTTGAAACTTGCTGTACAAGTGCTTTTGTTTCACTGGCTGAGTTAATGCAAAGGTCAGGGCAACAAGCTGATTTATTTTATTTCAAAAGTTTAATATTATAGAATACAATCCTTTACATATAAATATATATAAAGTTTCAAATGGAAAATCTTGAAGATGACGTTTATTGCTTTTAAAAATCAAAAAGCTAATATAAAATAAAAAACTAAAGTTAAATATGAAAAAAAATGTTTTAAGTATTTAGTTATATTTGCCAATTTAGATTATTATTAGCATATTGTATAACTTATGTGAAAAGGTGTATATCCTGTATGTTTTATGACAATTCCATCGTTTAGGATTTGTACCCTGAAATTTTATTATCGACTAGGTACATAAAAGAAAAAAAGAAAAATATATATTTCCCTTATTGATTTATATTTTCATAGTTTATTAAATGTAAAAAAAAAGAATTCCCAAGGGGAGTCGATAAACTAAAAAATTAAAAAAAAAAAATACTGTTTTAAGCTGATTGCTTCCATTGAAATCCTTGTGTCGATGAAAGTGCACAAAGGCCCTGAAGGTCTACATATTGACTAAATAATAAAGACGGATCTTAATTGCTACCACCCCATCATCAGGCCTAACATGTTTTTAAAAAAACCATAACGCAAGGAAAAAATATTTTAAAAAATGTATTCAAAGATGAAAGTGTGATAGTGTTTATAAGCAAATTTTGTTATATTTTCAGCTAGGAAAAAAATTAAAATGTACTTATGTAATTAGTACATCTGTTAGTGCAATAATTTATTTGTTATTAATGCAAAGATTTTATTTATTATTATTTATTGTGCTTTATATCGTTTGTTGAAAGATTTTTGTTTAAATGCCTGAAATATTTAAAATTTGATAACTTTTAGGAGCTTATTTATTATTTTAATTATTTAATCATTGTAGAAAAAAAGGGGTAAAGTGAGTGAAAAAATCCTTTTGATATATCCTTTAGTATAATATAATAAGTATAATAATAATTTTTAAAAGAGGCATTGGGTATTTTATTTATTTTAAAAAGATTATGTAATTTTGTGTTGTTTTGAACAGAATGTGATCATAAAATATAGGGGACGCTTCAATCGTAGAGTATTCGATGGTGCTACGAACTTAAATGGAATGCCTTGCCCATGAACTTACTAAGGAGAAAGTCTTCGTGAAGTTCAATATAGTTTAAGAGACAGTGTTAAAAGAGGTTCATGTCTGATGAAGAGAAAATTAAAAAAAAAAAAACCAAAACGTGTTTGAATGGTTGTTTATACGCAAATCATAAGAGCAGTCCAACCACAATATTTGTGATACGTTTATTAGAACTTTTTGAAGAAAAAAAATAAAATAATAAAATTTTAAATAAAAATTCACACCTATCACTTTCTTTGTAAGTCAGACATTAAAATTCCTTAACTTCTTAAGTACTTATTAGACTGAATAAAATTATCACTGGGTAGTTGGTATGTTTTTTTTTTGTAAATGCTCATAATAAAATTAAAATAATGCTAGTCTGTTGATAAGTCATTTTTTTCTGGCTGTTTTCTTTACTGTACTGTTACAAAAATAAAACTATCAAGGAAAATTCACAACTTAAAAAAAATTGAATTAAACCATTTTGAATAGTTTCATAGTTTGGATCGAGAATTTTTAATATTAAAAATTTTAGCTTGTTTTCATCCCTACAAACGCTAAAAATATTTAATCTCTCAACTAAGAAAACGATCTATGTCTATAACCACTTCCCTATTAAAAGTGTTATGTACATTATTCTATTTTCAGAATGTTATATTTTGATGCAAATTTGTTTATCCATGTTTTATAGTGAAAAGAAAGTTTTAATTTGTTTTTTAAGGTGTATTTATTATTTCAAATTATATTCTTGTGGAGTTTAGAAATAACCGATTAAAACATTCTTAAAACATAATATTAATTGGTTTTATTTCAGCCCCTGCATCTATTTACACTTTCCTTGATATTTACTTATTACAAATTTATTTAAGCTCAGTTGTGCGCAAGAATAAATGATTTGGTATAATTTTCTTCTTTTTTTCTGTCCTGTCGATAAAGTTAGGCTTGAGGGACTGTAAACAGCTTTTTCATTTCAGCCCAAATGCATCAATTTTTAAATCTAAACCCACTCCTGTTAAATATATTTTTTATATATACAGACCTTTCAGACAACTATCAATATTCCTCCATATGCCCTCTCACACTAATCGATGTTTCAACTAATTCACTGCTTTCGTGGTCCGCTTGACCAATTAATACATGACAATTAATTAAGGTTTTTAGATGAAAAAAAGTTAATGGCACAAGCGGGATTCGAACCCACAATCTTCGGCTAGATACGACGCTGCTCTACCACCTGAGCTATCGTGACCTCGATCCACTCGGACATCAACTTCCTATCTCAACCCCATCTTATGAGTTTTCCCTCCTTTTTGCCATTTTTCAAATGTCGTGTAATCGGTTTGGATTCTTGACGACAATTGAAATGGCGACGGAGAGCTTGAAAAATGGCAAAAGGAGGGAAAACGAATAAGGTGGGGTTGAGATGGGAAGTTAGTGTCCGAGTGGACCGAGGTCACGATAGCTCAGGTGGTAGAGCAGTGGCGTATCTAGCCGAAGGTCGTGGGTTCGAATCCCTCTTGTGCCATTAACTTTTTTTCATCTCAACTAAAAACCTTAATTAATTGTCAGTTTCAACTAATAAATACATTCACTCTCAATACACAGAAATGGGAACAGAAAAATTAAGCTATCTATAGATACTATACAGGGCGTCCTTTTTAGATGGCCCAGTTCAATTTCTCTTGAACCAATGATGCTATCAAAAAATACATGATTAATATTTTTTAGTCTAGTTTCAAATGTTCTTCTTATTTTTGGAGAAAAAATTATACAAACTTCAGGCCTAGTTCAACTTCAAAATTTCAAATACGACCCTATACATCCTGACACATAATTTTAAAGGATTTTTTATGCTGAAAGCAATGATGAAATCGGATTTTAAATTGATCAAAAAAATGACAAAGTTATGGCAAAAAGTTTGAAATGACTTATGCGAATCCTGATTTTTCTATCTGATCAGCCACTGTAGGTAAATATTGTAGAAACTGGACATCCGTCTGCAGCTATCAAAAATTAAATCCAACATGTACAAATTGTGCTAGCTAAAAGAACCTCACTCTTCCCATTAATTAAGTTTTACCTACCTATTTATTCTGTTCTGTCCAATTTGATTTTTGTGTTCCGGATTTTGTAAATAAAGTTAAGTATCACGCTCCAGATTGAGATACGGTCTTGAAGAAAAAAACAAATTCAATTGTTACTGCCAAACTTCTGACCTATTTTAAGGTCATCATCAGGGCAACGAATACTGTTACAATCCTTACCAATATTAGGACTGAGCCGGTCTTCAAAAAATGATATAATAGACCTCTTAAATATATGCCTATTATCTAATTATTGTAAATTCAATAATAAATTTTACAAAATGAAAGGGTTACCAATGGGGCCTCCATTATCCCCACTTTGTGCTGAAATATTCATGGATAATTTCGAAAAAAATCTTTTGAATTAAATCATTTCTAGAAATGCTATGTAGACGATATTTTATGCATATGGTCAGGAACATTAGAGGCTCTCAATGAATTCCTTTAACTAATTCTCTACACCATAATATAAATTTTACATTAGAAATTAACAAAGATGGTTGAACTTTTTAGACCTAAAATTGTCCATAATGAACAACCTAATAGAAATAGACGTATATAGAAAACCCACAACTACAGACACTATGATAGCGGATTCTTCCCACCCATGGTCCCAAAAGGCTGCTGGTATCATTTGGCTTATAGACCAGATGTTAAAACTTCCATTAACACCTGCTAACTATAAAAAAGAGACTGTAAGTAGGAACTATCTTTTTAAGAAGGATTGAACACTCCATCATTTATCATTTCTATTCTGGCATTAGTGTTAGGTTATGACTGTGTGAAAAAAAATTGTAATCACATACGTATAGGGTGTAAATAAAATAAAAAGAAATTATTCATTCTACGTTGATTTTTGTAATTATTAATTAATTAAGGTTTTTAGTTGATATAAAAAAGTCAATGGCACGAGCGGGATTCAAACCTACTATCTTTGGCTAGATACGCCGCTGCTCTACCACTTGAGCTATCGTGTCCTCGATCCACCCGGACACTAACTTCTCATCTCAACCCCACCTTTTGAATTTTCCCTCCTTTTTGCCATTTTGGAGAGGTTGACATGAGAAGTTAGTGCCCAAGTGGATCGAAGTCACGATAGCTCAAGTGATAAAGCAGCGGCATATCTAGCCGAAGATCGTGGGTTCGAATCCTGCTTGTGCCATTGACTTTTTTATCTCAACTAAAAACCTTAATTAATTATAATATATTAATTGGTCAAGTGGACCACGAAATTAGTGAATGTAATTATTAATTTTTCTTGAAGTTCACCATGGAACACAGTTTAGGAAACCACATAACAGATATTTCGAATATGAGCACACAAACTTACAGATGATTTTTTTTATGTTTTTGCAAATCAAGTCACATTATTATTATTATATAATCATCCTGATGGAAAAGATAACCATTTTTGTAAATGAAGTCACAAAATTGCTCGATACGATCACAGGCAATAATTTAAAGATTGAAAGTGCAGTTTGGTCATTTATGATCGTATCTTTTAGTTCGGCAGTGTATACTCCAAAGACAGCTTGAAATGTCTCCAAATCAACTAGGATTAAAAGTCAGAAATGACCATAGATAGCCTAGACCTAGAGAAAAATAATACACAAGAAATAATAAAGTTAAATTAAAGTACTTTCATCAAAAGAATAAATTTTATTTATAAAAATTATACAAATGTTATCTATTTATATATACATATACATAAATTTATTTATTTTTTGTTTTTGTGTTTGAAATCACACTAAGATTTTAATTTAATAACCTTTCACTCTAATAAAAATCTACAAAGTCAAATTTCTATTCAAATTAAATTATATAGTTGCTATTTAATTTTTTTTTTTTAATTCATGTTTGAAATTTATACATATACTATCTGCCTTTTCAGTTTGTATAATTCAAAAATTGCATGAGTAACTTATTTTACTGAAAAAGGTTGAATCACAATTCCACAAAAGTACATAATATAGTGGATTAAATAAAGGGACAATTTATATTAATTTATGAACTATGCTAGTGTTAGTAATAAAAATTTGATCTAATAGAACTTACACTATACATTACTTATAGTAGTTTGTATATAAAAGGACATCACATAAAATAGAAAAATAATTTATTTGCCTGTTATTATTTTTTTTTAAAGAATAATTTAAAATATATACCAATATTTACAATAAGATACAATGGAAAATAAAAGCAATGCCGTATGAATATTATTGGATAACAGGAACATAAAAAAATATTTAAATTGTTAAATTTTGAACAAATATTTTAACAAATACTATTATGGTTATAAATTAAGGCATACAAAATTTCTCTATTTGAAAATTAAATTAATAATAAAATCCTCAAACTGGCATAACCTCAAAACCGCTTATACGAATGTAAAATATCTATTGTCTATTTCACAAGCTCATACTTCTGCAGACATATCATTAAAAAGTCAATTAAAAAATAAATTTAAAAAAGCCGAGAAATTCAGAGAAAGGTTTAAAGCATGCGAAAATAGGGTAAAAATATAGACGTTCTCACAAGTCTCAAAAATAAGATTTTTTGCCAAAAATGTCTATATACAGTCTATTTTTTTTTAAAACCAATTTTGAATTATAACGATTATTCATCGATACCAAGCACTGGAAAATTTAACTTTAGTTAATACGACAAACTGCTTTTACTAAAAGCATATAATCCTCTCGTCTAAACGAGGTACAGATCACATATTTTAACTTTCATCCTGCACAAAAATGTTACAATTTGAAATGAGATTATATTAAATAAACTAGTGATATGTAATAAAAAAATAATGAATTATATTAACCTCTCCATTAATTAAAAAAGTACTGATAATAGTGTCATGATTTGCCATTTTACATTTTTTTTTATAATAACAATAGAAAATAAATAAACTGTAGAAAGTAAAAAAGAATTCACATTGAGATAAATTTAAAAGAATCGTCAGTCTCTCTTTTCGAGACAAATATTTTAAACCTAGAAGAAAAGTGTTTTTTTACGTTTTATTTCCAAGTCTAATGTTTAAACAATTCAATCAATTGGTATCACAACTATTTCATAATATCACAATTCTAGTACTACAAAAAATTTCCCCCACCTAACCTATAATATCAAACTTATTCGCTAAACGGTTGTGTGATTATAATACATGCATACAAAGTTGCGAGATAAAGTAGAGGTGGAAAATAACACGACTTGAGCTAAAAATCTTAATTTTTACTATTAATGAGCACAATATTGATATATGTTTCAAGGACAGTCATTTGCATTTTAAAAATTATAGTTTATTCTTTCCCTAAATATTTGAGTTGATACTTCAAATGAACATTTTCTAAAGAGAAACCAAATGTGTTTTATTATTTGGTCCCGTTGCAAAATATATAACTGCCAGTTGCTGCATTACAATTTTTTTTTTAATTATACCAATAGATATATTGCAAATTTTATTTTGACAGTTTTTTTAATGACAGTCCTTAAAGCAAATATAGACTCAACTTCTTTTAAAATTGACCTATTGTTGCATTGCTCACTAAAGAAAAAAAACGAGGAAAAGTACTTTTCTTATACATAGAGCTAATTTTTTTTTTTTAATTCTAAATTTTAAATTGCATGTGGTACAGGCTTTATTATAAAGACCGAATTATTATTAATATAAATTGTTCAAATCTATTACTAGTGTGAAAACATTTTATTAAAAAATTTTTATCCATGAGGTAAATGATTCAATTTTAATAATTGATCAAATCTTTATGATATATTGTACCCATTTCAATGATTTAGTTATTTTCACAAATGTATATATACAACGATCAAAAGTGCGATGTATAATACTTTTGTGTTTTTTTGTTAAAAACCAGTATTTACAAATTGAGACTTCTTTTTAGGTGTTCAGCTTGAGCTTGAGCTTAAGCGCGAAATAAGCCCCGACTCTCAACAGTAGGAAAAAGCCGATCAGGGCGACGACATCGATCCAGTATTCGACGCCGGACATATCCATAAACTCGAGGAACTTGGACGGGCTTTTGAAATGGCAGTACGCCTCGGAACAGTGTAGCTTCGCCCTGTTCCCGCCGTAAATTGCTATCATGCACCCTTCAAAGCCGTAACGTATGTAGCTGATATACGTGACCCATTGCATGTACCACGGTATCGTGCTGAAGTTGACGAAGAACCCCGAGAAGAGGAGGACAGGTATCGACGTCACTGGGCCAAGAAAAACTCCAGTCTAGAAATTGAATTATTATTTCAGTCAAAATTATTTGTTATGAAAATAATTTGATTTTTAATAATGATACTATCCAATAAACCTGATGAAATTCATGTGAATCTCTACCCTGTATGTTAAATATACAGTTTATTCTATAGATAAAATACATATAAAAATTTCTCAGAAGAAAGGCAAAATCATAAAATATTGTGCAAAGTTCCTGCAAGGTTCCTCAAAGTAAAATTACAAGAGAATAAATCGGTTTAAGAAACAAAAATATTAACTTTACTAGTTTTGTGGTCCACTTGACCAATTAATATCTTTCAATAAATTAAGGTTTTCAGTTGAGATAAAAAAGTCAATGGCATGAGTGGGATTCGAACCCACTATCTTCGGCTTGATACGCCGCTCGCTGCTCTACCACTTGAGCTTTTGTGACTTCGATCCACTCGGACACTATCTTCCCATCTAAACCAAACTTTCTAATTTTTACCCCTTTTTGCCATTTTTTAATTCAAATTCAAAGGTGGGGTTGAGATGGGAAGTTAGTGTCCGAGTCGATCGAAGTCACGATAGCTCATGTGGTTAGAGCAGTGGCGTATCTAGCCGAAGGTCGTGGGTTCGAATCTTGACTCTGACACTGACCGCTCTTGACACTGACTTTTATATCTCAACTAAAAACCTTATTTAATTGAAAGATATTAATTGGTCATGCGGACCACAAAAACTAGTGAATTTAATAAGTTGAAATGAAGTAACCTTCACCAAAGCTCTCTGTGGCCATTTCATTTGTCGCCGAGAATCAAATAGATTACACGACATTTAAAAAATGGCAAAAAGAAGGGAAAATTTGGTGGTGAGGTTGAGATGGGAAGTTAGTGTCCGAGTGGATCGAAGTCACGATAACTCAAGTGATAGAGCAGCGGCGTATCTAGCCGAAGGTCGTGGGTTCGAATACCGCTCTTGACACTGACTTTTTTATCTCAACTAAAAACCTTATTTAATTGAAAGATATTAATTGGTCAAGCGGACCACGAAAACTAGTGAATTCAATAAGTTGAAATGAAGTAACTTTCACCAAGGCTCTCCTTGGCCATTTCATTTGTCGCCGAGAATCAAATAGATTACACAAATTTGAAAAATGGCAAAAAGAAGGGAAAATTTGGTGGTGAGGTTGAGATGGGAAGTTGGTGTCCGAGCGGATTGAAGTCACGATAGCTCAAGTGGTAGGGTGGCGTATCTAGCCGAAGATCGTGGGTTCGAATCCTACTCGTGACACTGACTTTTTTATCTCAACTAAAAACCTTAATTAATTGTAACAAATAAATATTTAAATATAATAGAATAAACCAATAAATGAGACCTACGATATTAAATAAAAAGGGGGTAAAATTAACAAAAAATTAACCATCTTCAGTGTAAAATCATATGAACAGGGTGTAGTAAAAAAATCGGGATTTAAAGTTTTAGATTTAAACACACTGCCACAAATCCCTTACCAAACGTGACTTTTTAAAAGAAACTCGCCTTAAAAAAAAGTCCTCTGATCCGACACTAAATTGTAAAATGCCAAGGCACGTTATATTATAACGCTACGATATTATGGTAAGTAATTAAAAAATTAAAAGTTCAAAATTTACCTCAATATCCATAGCTGCCCCTATAAGAAGCCCAAGGCTTTGCGCAACGAGTGAAGTCAGTACGCACATCAGCAGCACCATAAAAAACCTGACTGGATCCAGCGGCTGTGATGTCATAAAATACACTATAGCAATATACACTATCGAAAATACAATCTGGAAAATAATCATAAATTAAAACATTCGTCCGCATAATTTTGTTTATACAAGTTCCAAACCTGAAACGGTAGATCGGCCATCGTTTTAGCTATGTAAAAAGATTTGAGAGAATACCAATAATTTAAGTGCTCCCTAACAAACACTGACATCTCCAAAGGAACTGAAAAAAAAAGGCAGATATTATTTTAAAATTTAAACTTGTTAAATCGAAATACTTACACGTCAATACAGTAGGCATCATGGCTGTGAACATAAGAAAAAGTACGGTGAAAAATATGCATCCGGCATTGTTCATAACTTTAGACGCTTCGTTCCCAATGTCGTAGTATATGAGACCGATGAGTAGGCCGATTAAAATATGTGACATCAGCCGCATACGAGTTAACATCTATAATTTAAAAAAAAAGTTAAAAATATCATTCATAATAACCTTTTTTATTTATTTATTTACGGATCGAAATCCACTATAAAAAAGACATTTTACAATAACAAAAATATAAATGATATATGTAAAAATACAAATAATATATATAAAGAGAATAAGGACGTATATACATGGTAATAATATAAATAGTAAATATAAAAATACAATTAAAGAGTAAAAAACTGAACAACAAAAATGAAAGACATAATTACTAACCAAATAAGGCAGAGGAAACAAAAAATAAAGCTGAAAGACAATTGAAACTACAATAATTACGTACATATTTAATGAAAATAATGCTCTTTGTAAATATATAATAAGACTAGAGTGCGAGAATTAGTTGAACCAGTAAATGAAATAAATTGTAATAATTTTGTACAGTATGAAATATAAAAGCATTCAACTAAGGTTGTAGGATAAGGTTTTTTACAGATTGCACAGAACTATTGAAGAAGTCAATGCTATTGCAGATGTTGTTATTCTTGATCATCATTCTGTGTAGAGGAGAAGAGTAGTTAGAGCTTTGGAATTCAATATAAAATAATTTATAGGTTTTAAGAGAGTGCGAAGGGACATGTAGTTGTAGTTGAGAGAGGAGATAAGGACTATCAATGAGATTGTTTAATAATTTAAATACAAAACAATATCAAAGTAATCCATTCTTAGTGCCCGTTCGAAAAGTTTAAATTCAAAGCGGATTCCAGGGTAGGCAGAATTCGGAGGAAGATTGAGTTTGTAGGAAAGTTTTTTTTTTAAATTAATTCACTACTTTCGTGGTCCGCTTGACCAATTAATACATGACAATTAATCAAGGTTTTTAGTTGAGATGAAAAAAAGTCGCCATTTCAATTGTCGTCGAGAATCCAAACCGATTACACGACATTTGAAAAATGGCAAAAGGAGGGAAAACTCATAAGGTGGGGTTGTGATGGGGAGTTGATGTCCGAGTGGATCGAGGTCACGATAGCTCAGGTGGTAGAGCAGCCGATCTAGCCGAAGGTCGTGGGTTCGAATCCCTCGTGCCATTAACTTTTTTTCATCTCAACTAAAATCCTTGATTAATTGTCACGTTTTTTAAAAAATTTGTTTTGTACAGATTGAAGAATTTTTTGATAATTTAGATAGAATGGGTTCCAAACAGGTCTAGCATATTCTAGTATGGGTTGTACAAAAGCTTTATAAAGATGGACAAAACATAGAGGATTTTTAATTTCATAGGTGTTCCGGATGATAAAACCGCGCATCTTCATAGATCTATTTTTTATTGAAGAAATATGTTCTTTAAACTTGAGCTTTTGATCAAAAAGTACACCAAGATCCTTTACGACCTCAACTTGCGTTAAAAGAGCATCGTGGAGAGTATAGAGATAAATAAAAGTTTGTTTATTATGAGAGAATGTAATTGTGTAGCATTTGGAAACATTAAGAGCAAGTTTGTTATTGGAGCACCAGGTTAGCACGTTATTGATAGAATTTTGTAATTGTAAGCAATCGGAAGGAGAAGTGATTATGGAATAGATTTTCAGATCAGCAAATAATAAAAATTGAGCAGAAGGGAGAGCAAGATGGATATCATTAATAAATAAGAGAAACAAAACTGGTCCAAGATGAGACCCTTCCAGGACTCCCGAGGAAGCCGCAAAGGGACATGATTTAAATGATTTTATTTTGACTATTTGTTTTCTGTCAGAGAGAAAGCTGGATAACCAATTCAAGATAGTTCCGGTGAAACCATAATCCATTAGTTTCCTTAACAGTATTGTGTGATTTACTTTATCGAAAGCTTTAGAAAAATCAGTATACACTGAGTCTACTTGGTGTCCAGAGTTTATTGCATCTAAGATGTAATTTTGAAATGTGAGCAGGTTAGTAACAGTTGATCTATTAGAGCAGAAACCATGTTGCTGAGGTATAATAAAAGATTTAATGTCGTTTTTAAGTTTATTACAAATAATAGAATCAAATATCTTGGAGAACATGGATTGAATAGATATTGGTCTGTAATTGAAAACATTAGATCTATCGCCAGCTTTATGTAGAGGAATGACAAAAGTGCTTTTCCAAGCATTGGGGAAAATACCTGTTTTTAACGACTGGTTCAGAATATAGTGTAAAGGAGCAATAAGAGCCGCAGAACACTTTTTAACTAATATAGGGGGTATGCAATCGGGACCAGAAGACTTTTTCACGTTGAGTAATGAGATAGAATTTAGTATTTCATTGTGTGAGATATAGTAATTAGAGATAGTGTGAGAAGATGGCATAAGGAGAGAGGTTGTTTCAGGTAGGGAAGTGGGAAGATCAGAACTATGGTCATAGACTTGGGAGAAATATTTAGCAAAGAGATTAGCAATGTCATGGCCATTAGATGAAGATTCATTTCCTAAACGCATGAAAGAGGGCATGGCCTTAGAAGTGTTGACAGAATTCACATAATTCCAAAACTTTTTAGTATTAGATTGGATTGAGTTTTCTGTATCAAAAAGATAATTCTTATAGCAAATATTCGACAGTGTTTTACATTGGACTCTAAGAGATGAAAATTTTGAATAATAATAATTATCAAGAGTTTGCTTGTACAATGAATGATACATCTTTTTTTGCTTGACTTTTTCAATAAGTTCTAGACAAAACCATTTCGGATATGGGTAATTATTGCCAGTTTTAGTTTTAGGAACATACATATCTATAGCTTTGAAGTCATTACCTGGTCGCGAATAATTGAAATGAAAGTTCTGTTAATAAGTATAGCAAATTGTTTGAAGCTCGATGTCGGAAATCCAGGGCTGGGGCCAAGCGTGCTCAGGCTCTCGTCTGAATGAAGCAACGCTGATGTGCAGGAAACAGCATTCAAATTTGTATCTGTAAGAATAAAAGGTTCAAGTCAATATATAATAATTTATCCTTCAAACACTTAATAAATATATTGGATTGTTCAGAAAATAATGCAGGTATATGGCTATAAAATAAAAATAAATGATTTTAAACAAGTCTTTTTCCAATGGTACTTCTCTTTACCATCTGGATATAATTTTGTGTCTTTACTATTAATAAATTAATTCACTACTTTCATGGTCCGCTTGACCAATTAATACATGACAATTAATTAAGGTTTTTAGTTGAGATAAAAAAATCAATGGCATGAGCGGGATTCGAACCCACGATCTTCGGCTTGATACGCCGCTGCTCTACCACTTGAGCTATCGTGACCTCGATCCACTCGGACATCAACTTCCCACCTTTTAAATTTTCCCTCCTTTTTTACCATTTTTCAAATGTCATGTAATCGGTTTGGATTCTCGACGACAATTGAAATGGCGACGGAGAGCATTAGTGAAGTGTACTTCAATTTTAAATCATTACTTCACTACTTTCATGGTCCGCTTGACCAATTATAATACATGACAATTAATTAAGGTTTTTAGTTGAGATGAAAAAAAGTTAATGGCACGAGAGGGATTTGCAGATGGCAAATGGAGGGAAAACTCATAAGGTGGGGTTGAGATGGGGAGTTGATGTCCATGTGGATCGAGGTCACGATAGCTCAGGTGGTAGAGCAGCGGCGTATCTAGCCAAAGGTTGTGGGTTCGAATCCCTCTCGTGCCATTAACTTTTTTTCATCTCAACTAAAAACCTTAAGTAATTGTAATTACAATTTATATATTCACGTCTGGATCTTTAATATTTCTAAGAAGGAAGACTGTAAAGGCTTCAAAAATGGTCAAGCAATTTTTCATCTCAACTAGAAACCTTAATTAATTGTCAACTATTAATAAAATTCTGTGAACGCATTTTCTATTGACTTTTGATCAATAAATTTTTTATGTTGTAAAACGTCCAGGTGTCTAAAAATATGGTAGTCAGTAGGCAAGAGGTTTGGACAGTAGTGAGGGAGAAGCAGAACCTCATCACAAGACCCAACAGTTTTCGTGTTGTCGCATGTGAGACACGGTGCCGAGTGTTTATCATCGGCCTTTTCTGACCAAAGATGGCTTCAGTAATGCCAATTTCTGGCGAATTGCTTTAATTTGAGAAAAATTCATTTCGATACTGATCGTCTCACCAGGATTCAAGAAGCTGTAGTAGATCAGCTCATATGAAGCCTACCGCCATCTATTTTGATGAGTTTGGGGCTTTGGAAAATGTGGTGCCGCTTGTCCTTTGTTGAGCCACTGTCTAGAACATCCGCTGTTATCATAGAGAATTCACTTTTCATCACAAGTAAAAATTCTATCCAGAAAATGTTTGTTTCGGTTTCAGCAAAGAAGTATTGAGCCAATGACATAATGATGATTTTTTTGGCGGTCGTTTAATGCACGAGGAACCAAACTTTCAAGCTTTTTCTCTTTTCCAATTGCCCTAAGATGGTCAGAAATGGACGATTTGCTAACTGAAAGTTTGTCTGCAAGTTCTCGAACAGTTTTTCTTGGATTTTCTTTGATTGAAGCTTGCAGAACATCATCATCTAGGGAAGAAATTGAAGAAACCACGACATAGTCATCAAAGCTCTTGAAATTTTTAAACCATCTCTGAACAGTGCTCTCGCTCACATTGCCATCGCCCCAGACTTTTAATGTTTCTGGCCATTTTCTCACTGTTCAGACCGAGTTTAAAACAAAATTACGCGAAAAATAAGTTGACTACTTAGAAAAGACTGAATTATTCCCAAATAACAAAATGCTAACTAAGGTAAACAAACATTTTCACTTGGAAGGACTAAAAAGTTGATCTTTGTACAAAATAATAAATAATCAGACACAAATATTTTATTATATCGAGGGGTAATTGAAAGTAAACATGAAAACCTGCGTTATTTTCTGATTAACTTAATAGTTTAAATTTTCCAAAGTTATTTCTTCCTTTGCTAACAATTCATTCTTACTAGAGAAAAAAATTTGTTTTATATTTTTATTGTTTCTGATAAAGATATGTACAATATAAAGGGTTTGCCATATCTTTGCAAAGTTTAGAGGGAAAAATGGCAAAAAGGAGGGAAAATTCAAAAGATGTGGTTGAGATGGGAGGTTGGTGTCTGAGTGGATTGAGGTCACGATAGCTCAAGTGGTAGAGCAGTGGCGTATCTAGCCGAAGATCGTGGGTTCGAATCCCGCTCGTGCCATTGATTTTTTTATCTCAACTAAAAACCTTAATTAATTGTAATATATTAATTGGTCAAGCGGACCATGAAATTAGTGAATTTAGAGGGAAGGATGATTTTCTCTTTTCAGACAAAGAAAGTTCAGAAAGTCCAATTAAAATTTTAAATTGAAAATAAGCCAAAACCGTTCAAAAGATACTTGTCATTGCATAGGTAATGTCTCATGATCGTGTTTTTATTACCTTTTGGGTCAGTGCAAAATCACAATTTTTAACCTGTACGGACTAAATTAAAAACCAGCTAAATTGAGATGTATTAGTTTATAGACATATTGAGTTGATTATAATCTCAATTCTTCACATATGTGCAAAATCCTTTAAGTGTTTTACACTTAGGCTCACTTAGGCTATCGTCAGCAAGATCTTTCAGACCTTATACAGGTTTAACCTAAACACTCTTACTCATTCTTAAATACATTCTTTCCATTAGTAAGGTGCAAAGTCCTTGAGTACTTCCATCACCTTTTACACTTAGAGCAACTACACAAACACTAATTAGTTTAAGGGGTCAATGGTGGACATACATTCACGCGTATAAATACATTCTCAGAATACAACTGCTACCAAACCAATTAAGCAGGGCATTTGGAGCAACCTTTCAACATGCAAGACACACATGCATATTATGAAGGGTGGGTGACCAAGACCCAAGGGGTTAAATGCCTGGGCAGACTCGTACCCCATCCCTAAAAGGTCCAGGATTTGGTCGGCTCATGTGTCCTGCATAAACCTCTTGGACGTGTTCACAAACCCCAAGATTTTGGACCATTTTATCTCGGGGAGTGATTTGGTGATGTCCTCTCCTTCAAAGATTTCAAATCAAGACCTAGCATTTCTATCACATTCTGCGAGGTAGTGCTTTGCCGCTTCTTCTTTTATTTCGCAGAAGCGGTAAAAGGGATCTGGTAGGATACCCATTACGAAGAGGTGTCTTCTCAGTGGGCAGTGGCCCGTCAGAATATGTATGAGCCTCCTAATTCCCTTCCTTGAGATAGAGAATAGCCATTTCGATTCTGCTGGTTTGATTGCCTTAACGAACTCTTTTGATTGCCTGTGTCCGGGGGATAAATTCCACTCCCTAAGGAATTGTTTCATGCCCCAGTTATTGATACTCTCTTTCGCTGTGCTCATAGAGTGAGGTAATACCGGTTGTGGCCCGACAAACGCAGTATTAGAACCTTCTTTGGCTAGGCCATCCGCCTTTTCATTGCCATGGTGTCCTTTATGTGCTGGTATCCAAATAAGGGTCACCTTATTCTCAAACCTGAAAGAGATCCTATTGATAAGATCTATAGTTTCCTCCACCAGTCGTGAGGTTGACAAATCTTTTTGTAATGCCCTAAGACTAGCCTGACTGTCAGAAAAGATTTTAATATCTTTTCCCTTAATTTTATTTTCCATAAGTGTTCTACAACACACATTGATGGCCCAGATTTCCGCCTGAAAAACGGAGGTGTTATTGCCAAGAGGGGAGGAGATGCTGATTCCTAATTTTGGTATGTAGATTCCTGCACCACTCCCTCTTCCTTTGATAAGTGATCCATCTGTGTAGCAGTCTATGTTACTATGGTCATCATCCAAACTATAATTGTAATCATAAGGGGTGACTACCTGAAAGTGCTTTTTCCCCGAAGGGGTTTTAATCTTTTTATCACTAACGCTTAATAATTGACCATTAACCTTGCTCAATAGTTGAGAGATTTTCAAGTGACCTATGTTATTGCACTTATGATTCCATCTGCCCTTGCTAATTAATCTGTAGCAGCTGATAGTGCTCTGACCTTATAGCCATTTGGCTACCCATGGTTTGATGCCCCATCTTTTACCGGATTAATTGATAAACCTTTGTCACAACACCACCTATAAAGCAATCCCATGGTGTTTTCCATCAGTAGTGAAAGAGTCAGGGGATCCCTACCAGTGAGCATTATGGTACCATCATCTGAAAATAATTGACTGTAGAAGCCTGAATTATTCAGAAGTTCTATTAAGCTGTTTACTGTAATTAGCCATAAAAGAGGTGACAAACAACCTCCCTGTGGACAGCCTCCTTTTACATTAATTTTAAGAGTGCTACCACCTGAGCACATATTGATGCAAGACACATACTCGGTCTTTGGACCAAACTCTGTCAGGTAAGAATGATACTTCTGTGTTTTAGACTCAATGAGGGTCACTTATCGACTGTGCCTTGGCAAGCTCCTCGGATGACCCAGTCTACTGATGTTGCCACCTTTTCTTTACTTTCTTTTCTATATTTTTTATTGCTTGTTTAGTGTCAGTGGATTACAATTAGTAAGGTATAGTTTGCAGACTCTTCTTCCTTGTATAAAAGTTGTCTGACAAGACACCTGAGACTCAGACAAAAGCTTACAGACCTGACCTTTAGAATACACACAGAGTCGGGGAACCAGTGCACATGAATTTTCCAAGGATTACACAATTTCAAAGGCATGCAAGAACACATATCACACGGTACTCTGATACACCTTGTCTGGATGGGTTCATCATGGTCACTCCTTCGCGGTACATAATGCAGGTCACTGTGGTCATACAATTAGACCCATCCATGAAAAGGAGTTGTAAACTAGCATGATAGAGATTGTGCAGTTGATTTGGTCAGGGTTGCCAGACAGCCTCAGACATTTCAAGAATGAATCATGAAATAAGCAACCTAGGGTCATATCCACTGGAGGATGGCCCATCTCTCTCCGAAGTTTGGGGAGTTAGAACTTCATGAAATATTTTATGCCAGGCATCATTAACATAAATTTTATAACCAGTTTTACACATTATATAACCAAGATAGTGAAGTAGATAAAATTAAAAATTAAATAATTCCTATCAGACATAATGATCTATACCATGTCTCCCACCTAACAATGTAAGAAAATTTGTCCAAGTCTCCATTTTAAAAAGAACTGTTCTGAAATTGCACTTGTGAGTTAAAGTCAAATTATTTGTAGGTGTTTTCGGTTTGGCAGAAAACTTAGAAATTAGTTTAGTAACGTACGAGTGGCATCACCATTGGCCATTAATTCTTTGTGGTGTTTCTCATGGGAGTTGTAAATGGCACACTTTCCGTTGATGACGGCAAGAACGAGTTTATCGTGGACATCGCCGTGTTCGCCGCAAGCTACTTCCATCACTAAAATTAAAAAAAAAAAATTAGTAAAACTGCCAAATGTATAAAGATAGCTGGGCTTACCGTAATCAGCCGGGTTGTGGTAGCTGGGGCACTCGAGGTTCAGCGAGCTGAGGAAGGGCACAAGGCCTGAGACATCACCTTGGTAAATGCACTGCCCATCGGCCAATGTATACAAGTGGTCGAACATTTCAAAAAGCCTTGCGCTAGGCTGGTGTATCGTGCATATGATTGTCCTGCCACCTCGTGCGAGGCATTTCAGAAGTGAAAGGCATTGGAAGCAAGAAGAACTATCTAAACCGCTGGAAAAAGAACATAAGTCATAATGTTGGAAGACAGAAAAGTTTCTATTGGTTTACCTGGTTGGCTCGTCGAAAAACATGACTGGTGGATTGTTGACGAGCTCGAGTGCGATGGAAAGCCTTTTTCTCTGGCCACCTGACAAATTGCATGTTCTCGTATTGCTGCAATCCAAGAGACCCAAAGTTTCCAGGATTTCTTCCACCTTAAACAACAAAAATGTTCTAAAAAACATCATTAAAAAAATCTGAAGAATGTTCTGCGTAAATTAACATCTCTGAAGTTACAGAGGGATAGAGAGAGGGAGGGAGGGAGAGAGGGTGAGAGGGAGGGGAGAGGGAGAGAGAGAGAGTGAGATAGAAAGAGGGAGAGAGTGAGGGAGCGTGATGGAGAGGGGGAAACTGGGAGGGTGGGGGAGAGAAAGAGTGAATACTTTCTGACTGAATATTCTGGAACTAGAATCCCCTAAGAATAAGGTCACACACATTTTTATAAATCTGACTAAAAACGAAATAATAGTACCAATAATAAGAATTTGAGAAAAAGAGAAAAATACTGTCTCCCGTGAATTTATTATTATTTTTATTTATTCTATTTTTTTTTCTAATTATTTAACAAAAACGTTTCTATTTTGTCTTGTTATGAAAATTCGTTTTTAATGGTTCTACAAGCTGCTTAAAACGAATCTGAATAGGTTTTTCCAAAAACCATTTTTGGGCCTGCTTTATACGAAAGGTTTTTGATTTTTGCAATTTCAATATAACATCAACACTCTTACATCATGTAACAACATCTCGCCTATTATTATGGTGCGTGAAAATATGGGTAATTTAACGTCAAAAAGCAGACTGGCCTGGTTCGCTTTCCGCCTTCCTCCGGTAGCGGCCGGAGTGTCCCAGGGGTACATTTTGGGTCCCTGTCGTTTTATAACGATTTCTACACGCGTGAGCGCAATTGCAAACGTGCATAACGCGGTAAATCAGATTTTTCCACAGGAAGAAACTAAATATTGATATCGCCAAAAGAAAAGCAATCTTCTTTATAAAAATAGGACCAAAAATTAAAAAAAAATAGTATAAATAATTAATGAAAATTCAATCCCATAGTGTGAAAGGCACCTAGGACTAATTATGCACAAGAAACTAATTTTTAGTCCTTATTTATCGGGTATAATAAAGGAAAACTGGGTAATAATTTAATAATTTCCACTTCTATTTTAAAGATTTCCTCAGTCAATTTTTGCCACATTTTTCTGTGAGTTCAACTAATTCCCTCATGCTACTAGATCAAATTTTGACATTTAACCGTTTTCATGTTTTACTGTTTTACTCGTAACTTTAATTACTTAACAACTTACCACTACTCGTTTTTCTTTCTTGGTCATGTTCCGGCCGAGCTTAAGGTTCGCTGAAACTGTCATAGATTCCCACACAGTCAGATGCGGTAAAAGCCTGTCGTCTTGCATTATATAGCAAGACATTTTCCTGAATCTCCTGGAATTCCTGTCTTTCCCGTTTATAAGGACAGATCCGGTGACTCCGGATGTTCTGAAAGAACAAAAAATCAATAATAAAATAATAGACAAAAAATTCACGAGGATTTGTTTTTAAGTGTACCTGTAGCCAGCAAGGACGTTCATAAGGGTACTCTTTCCAGCTCCAGACGGTCCCATTATAGCGGTCAACTCCCCAGATTGGAACTTGCCGCTGATGCTTTTCAAAAGAGACTTCTGCCCTGGAAGTTTTTAAAGGTATTTCAATAAATAAAACAGTTCGGTTGGTTACAAATGATTCGATGTGATTTCCCTATGGGCTTGATACCGATCTTCGCAGCCCTGAGTTTTTAGGCGAATATTAAATTATTTATTGGCAGGGGGGCGAAACATTAATCAGTTTTGTCAAAACAATGTTGTTGAGTGTTGTTATTTCGCGTCGTAATTGATGTCTGTACTTTTTCCTCGTTTGTCTCGACTTTGTTGATTTAAACAAGGCTTCGCGGAGCAAAGAACATGTAGCTGTACATAAAGTCCACTTTTTCCCCTAAGAACATTTTTGTGCGAATATCTGTGTAATTTTTTTTTATTACAAAAGGGCTCTAGGTCTGTCTTATCAAAATATTCATTTTTGATGGTTTCTTCGTTTAAATTTTGTAGTTTTCAAGGTCAACTCTGACAACTTAGAATATATTAATCTTAGTCACTCATATTTTTTCCTCTAATTCAACTATCCTTCTTACACTTAACGAAGAAAAGCAAAAATGTAGATTCTCGCCTGCCTCAGAAAATAAACATATGAACACCAACTTAGGAACCAAACAAAAATGTCTGTAATGGACAACAAGGTTGTCATGAGTTTTGGCTCTTTATATGGAGCGAGTAGGCATATTTATTGATACGTTGACGTTTATGAAAAAAAATCAGAACTATTATACCGGGTGTCCTTTTTAGATGACTCGGCTGAATTTCTCTTGAACCCTTGACGCTATCCAAAAACAAGTGTTTAATAATTTTTAGTCTAGTTTCAAATGTTTGCCTTTATTTTGAGAAAAATGATACAGGGAAGCTCACGCCCAGTTCAACTTCAAAATTTCAAATACGACCCTATAGGTTCTGAAACACCTTTTTAAAGGAATTTTTACGCTGAAAACAGTGGTGCAATCGGATTCTGAATTGGTCAAAAATCACATTTTATGTCCGAACAGCTTTCCTTACGCAAAGATGCAAAGATTTGCTCTTTTTAACCGCTCTTCACCTGTGTTCAGAGCGATAGAGTCAGAGTAGATGGATTGACAAGCATTTTCGATTCTTTGCCGCAGTTTTTCAACCGAGGTTGCTGGGTTATGATTGGCGTTGGCGCTGTTTTTTCAGAAAATAATCAAGGGGAGTCAAATCGGGTGACCTAGGAGGTCAACAGATGGGGCCATGAGGTCTTATCCACCTATCCCAGAAGTGACGAGTCAAATAACATCTCACCTGCAAAGAATTGCGTGCGGGGCATCCAACTGGAGCTTCATTCTTTGTCTTGTCGCGAGCATTCTTCCATTTAGCTGGAGAATCCTTCTTTGTCGTTGCTGCAGGGGAACATCATCTAATAGTGTTGGTAAAACCTCCCTCAAAAAATTTCAATTATTTTCTTATAAGTAAGGCCCTATTGACTTATTTCCGAGAAGTCCACAACAAATGTTGATACTGTAAACAACACGATGATGACAAGAGTACGAAATTCTCGGCTTTTCCTCTGCCCAGGTTCGAAAATCCCAAAAGTCAAGTATGCCAGATTCACTAGTTTTCGTGGTCCGCTTAACCAATTAATATCTTTCAATTAATTAAGGTTTTTAGTTAATGATTATTCAGAAATCGTGCCAACGTTTCGATCTTTATTGAGATCATCTTCAGGGCTCAATGTGTTTGTTTTCAACGTAAGTGTGCCATTCTTGCGTGACGTGTTGAGAGTGCGCACTAGTGTAATTAAAAATGGAGGGACAATTCAAAAGGTGGGGTTGAGTTAGTGTCCGAGTGGATCGAGGTCACGATAGCTCAAGTGGTAGAGCAGCGGCGTATCAAGCCGAAGATCGTGGGTTCGAATCCCGCTCGTGCCATTGACTTTTTTATCTCAACTAAAAACCCTAATTAATTGAAAGATATGCCATTAGAGGTCAACTTGGATTCATTAATCCATAGGATATATGAAAGAACGTTTTCTTCAGCCTCCCAAATCGACATTTGTTCAAGGGACTTTAGACACCTAGCCTTAGAGCCCCGAAGTCCTGGACAATACAGCTTAAAATTGTAAATCTCTAATTTTATTTTTTTGAAACAGCTAAAACCCTTCCAACATTTCGGAGAGAGGAATATGGATTTTCGCGAGCATACTGTAAAATATTCAGCTCCTCGTAGAAATTACACTGCCGAATTCTGATGTTCCGGTGATGGAACGGCAACTGATCCGTATCTTCTCATATTGCGAACAGCACGAAAAAACGTTTTGCGTTTTTCTCTGGGTCGAGCAGGAAATTTCTGGGAGTACAACTCGCCTCCACGACCCGCAATAGGACCACAATCAATAAAAAAAAGTCCTACATATCAACACGCTGTTGATCGGGAAAAATAAGCACAACTGTAAAATTCATTCACTTTCAGGAATTAAGATTTTCTCTCATAATGCGAGTTTGAGAAACAATAACATAATGGAACAATTATTCAGAAATCGTGAGATGCGGTCTGGTGTGATGTAGGTTTCAGAAAAACATTTTCTTTATCGTGCCAACGTTTCGATCTTTATTGAGANAACGTTGGCACGATAAAGAAAATGTTTTTCTGAAACCTACATCACACCAGACCGCATCTCACGATTTCTGAATATTTATCGATTAACGGTCACTAATCACCACACAGAATGGAAAAAATAAAGGCAATTAATGTTTACTTTTATGAAGAAGCAAATTATCAGAATTAACGACGAAACAAAGGAAATCCGTTTTTTCAAACTTTCTACCATAGTTTTGTAATTTTTTGACCAATTTATAATCCGATTGCACCATTGTTTCCAGTGTAAAAATTCCTTAAAAATGTTTCAAGATCTATAGCGTCGTATTTGAAATTTTGAAGTTAAACTAAGCCCGAGGTATCCTGTATAATTTTTCTCCAAAAAGGTAAAATTTTGAAACTAGATTAAAAAATATAAAACAATTACTTTTTGATATCGTCATTGGTTCAAGAGAAATTCAGTCGTGCCAACTAACAAGGACACCCTGTATATAATTGCTTTATATGTTAAAAAAATCTCCTTTGGTATGTACAGCATACATTAGTGTGATTTACATGGCAGACTTTAAGTCATAAACAGTTACTTATGTAAGATGAATGTCAAGAAGTAATCGTCATTATGTTGTGTAAAAGATAAAGAAGAATCACTAGACCCAACAACCAACCTAACTTAAGGGAAGTCATATAATAAATATGAAATAAAAATTCTGTAATTCTCTTACTACAAATGAAAACTTATTCAATATCCTATGTGTGCCTTGTACCATACTTTAAAGATTACCCAAGTTGGTAAATTTTGTAAAAAAAAAAAAAAAAAAAAAATCAATTCTAATATATAACTCTAAATTACAAAAAAAGATCAAAGTTTGTAAATTTTGTTTAATTTAATATTCTATGTAAAATTTTATTTGATCAAATCTTAGAGGCAATTTTCATTTTATTTTCTACCAAATCATATTTAAAATTTTATATTAGCCATTCCACAGATTGTAAGGAGAGAACGACCTGTCTGCCAAAATCGCTTTTGATAGCACTTTTAATAAACGATAATCCCTACCGAAAGAACTTTACGACGACGTCACATGCTTTAGCTGAATAAAAGAATTGATTCCTAACTCAACTACAATGAGTTTGAATCTACAGAACTGCTAAGGCCTCATGTAAAGAGCAATGCACAAAAATATGTATACATATAGTTACATATATAAAATAATACGATTGAAACATCTTGGACACTTGATACCCCGAGAAAACCCTTGAACCACCACGAAACATTAGGGGATGTTTCGGGAATCGAGAGGGGGGTAGTGTCACATCAGCAGCGACACATACAAGATTGGCTCCCCCATAGTGACGTCGTGGTAGGGGACGAAGGAAAAGGGAAGACAAGAGCCACGTGTATGCGATACGGCAAGCATGTCGGGTCTCCCAGTAAATTGGAAAAACGATAGTTTTATAAGGAGCCAGTAAGCACAAACAAAAACATTATTATTTCTTTTGATTTGGTGTTGGGTAATTTTATGAGCGAATGGTGTTGGTAGGGTGTAGTTACATATATATATAAGTGTTGTAAATAGCTTTTTAAGGTTCATTTATTAATAAATTCTTCTATTAAAAAAAAGGGAGTTTTGTCTTCCCCTTTAGGGTCTATTCCCTTTTCTTTCTCTTTTTATTGAAGACAGGCGCTTCTCACCATCACTCCGGCTTATTTACCCCTACAGGTGGTAAGTGACCCCTCACAAGTTTTATAAAGCAATAAAAATACTTAGCGTAGAAGAAGAGTTAGTTGACTGGTTGATTTAGAATCCATTCCTCCACTGCGACCTATACAGATCTTTTGTGAAACCGCTATAAATTAAACTATACCTTGGAAACTGGATTTTGTTCCTATAAGCATTCATTTTTTCACGGAACAATTCTGGTTTGATAAATGTATTGCCGAATTAGCTGTACCGTAACCGAGCTAATGCTTCACATTCACAAAGGGTATGTGCTGATTTCTGGTTCCTCCTGATCAAGTTGGAATATGCTTTTATCGCCTTTAGATGGTAGTTAAGAAGGCTGTGGCCGGTATAGAGAGATATTTTTCTCAAATCCTGGCTGCTGAGAGAGAAATTCTTCGCCTTCCTCTATGAGAGATTTATAAATCTTTTAGCTTCATAGGGCACAAAATAAAGGTGTAGCCCTGAGGGCGTGGCAACCTCTCTAAAGCACAAGCTGTACTTGTGTCGGGTTCGGGTCGGCATGGGGCGGCGGGTGCCTTATCAGAGGTACACGAGGGTTAGGGTACAAGACGGGGGAAGGTGCATAGCCATCTGTACTACGGGGTAACAGAAATGTTCCAAGGTTCAGCCCCTGTTACAATGGGAATGGCCTAGTGGCCGTGGCGAGACCACTGGCGGGTACCTGGAGAAGAGGCTGTCTTTTATCTGTGACCTTCGCACGAAACTTGCGTATGGTCATCACCTGAAGCGTATAAGCGTTGAGGACGCTATGATTACGCTGACGGAGTTCCGCGAATGCGTGAGTAGTGGCGGATGTGAACAGGTAGTGAATCGGTTGCTCCTACTCGAGTATGTTTTGCACGTAGGTGTAGGCTGAGCTCGATTGGGGGCTTTTACTGTAGACGGTACTCCTCCAGGGAGTGGTTAGCAATTCCACCTTAAATAAAACCGCGGCCGGAGCGGATCCGTTAGTTTCTACGCTAGAGAAACCCCAATACTCTGGGAGTTAGGCGGGGAGCGAGGTTGTCTTGGCCCCTCGGGGCTGAGCTGCCTCTACACCAATGCTGCGGCAGGTGCATCTACACCCTTCTATCGTATGCGGAGGTGCATCTTGAGAATCAAACCGATAAGGCCGGAAGGCTAGGTGCGGAAGTTAAAGATCCTCACTGTCCTTTCAAGGACGACCGAGTATACGGGAAAGCTTGCTCGTGCTTTTGTCGTGTGAGTGCGTTTGTACTTCCCAAGCCGTTTTTCTATTACCAAATTAAGCACACATTCCGGTACCTCTACACGTGGTTCTGACCCCATGGATGAAAGGGCCGTCCCTTTTTTTTGGTAGTTGGCCAGCCTGTTCATTTCCTTCCATGCATGCAGTCCGGGAAATCACTAGGTAATCTTTCTGTTTGTCCAGAGCCATTAAGAAATTTAGGCATTCTCAGACAAGTTTGTAGTTGACAGCGTATGCATTTAGAGCCTTTATGGCTGCCGGCTGTCTGAGAAAATCTGTGCTCCTTTCATATTTTTCTTTATTAACTCCTGTGGTACTCCTTTACAGGACTTCATAGTCCTTAGTCTAAAGCGCTTTCCTAGGGTTAGTTAGGCCCTGTAATCCTTCATCTATTCGTCGTTCTATCTTTGATCCATCTATAAACTATATTTGATCACTTTCTTGAAATTTGTGCCATCTTGAAATAGCCAGGAAGCCAAACTTCAGTGGACAAGATGGACTTAACAGACCGGATGTAGGTCAACATGCCAGGCAGAACAATCAATTTTTTGAAACTTCAAGTCAATCTTTCGCGTGTTTTAGGCAAGGTCGAGATACCAGTCAAGTTAAAATTAAAAATTAAAACCGTTAAAAAAAGAAGGCGCACCGATTATGTTAAAACCGCACGGCTGACATGTCGTTAAAAATGATCGCATTTTTTTAAAGGTTCTGTCCATCAATTATACAAGTTCACGACCGTTCAGAAATTACAAAACTGTTTCCCTGCGGGTTTTCCTTACCTCCGTTGCATTCTTGCGAGATGCAGTAAGACAGTTTGTTGAACTGGATGTGAACCGGTGGCCGTTGTGGAAGGTGGTTGAAAGAAAAAGGCCTCTTGATGTTGATGACGAGCGAGTCCGGGGGCGGTTTGTTCGCCTGTTTTTTGCTCAAACTCCCCGATTTGTGTCTCAAGGAACCGGCCGGAGACGGCCCGCCCCCTTCTCCGGACGTGATGTGAAACAGCTGGCTCCCACTGTAAACAAAAACAAGAGTCAGATGAGAAAACGGGATTAAAAACGAAACAGTACAAATAAACGAAAGAGTTATGTATTACTCGTAAATGAAATTGCGAACCGGACTATATAAAAAAGTACAATAATGTAAAGCAGCTGTCCTAGTTTTCTTAAAGAAAGTAAAGAAAACATATGCAGAGAATACAGATAGAGATATGTCAATCTTGCTGACCCCCAACAGAAGAATCATAAACTCAGATCTACTTTTCAAATTTGTATTCATTAACGTTGATTATTTATCATCTAGGAATCCAGCTCCAAGGCAAGAGGAATTCGTCGAACCGGAAATGCTCCGCAAATGTCTTGGATGAAGGAGAAAGACGAAAAGGATGTCCCTTCCCCATCACTACTACACGTAGCTTAAAGTTGCTCAACCCAGTCTGAGACAGACTGAAAATTGTGAATCTTTTGAAACACTGCTACGCTGACGGCCATAGTCGATAGTTGTACAATAGAATAAAGTAAAGAAAATTATAATAATAAACATATAACTAAATTACTACGTAGATGCTAAAAAAATATTGAACGATAAAGCGATAAACAAATTTTAGACGAAAACGAGACACAGAGAAAAAAACTATGATGCATTAAAATAGAAATAAATGTATAGTGCCAAAAGACGGAATTATTAAAGAAATTAGCAAACAGAGAGTAAATGAGAGAAAACTGATACAGCAATATTTGGTGTACTTATCAATAAGTAGGAAAATAACAGAGATAAATGGAGACATTAATACCATTGGAAATTGATAGATACATAGAGAGGGATACATAGATAGACAGATGCATATATCTCTTACAGAGATAAAGATAGATAGAGATAATGGTAGATGAGAGAGAGAGAGATGGAGGGAGGGAGGGAGAGAGCGAGAGCGAGAGCGAGAGCGAGAAAGAGAGAGAGAGAGTGAGAGAGAGAAAGGGAGAGGGAGAGTGAGGGAGAGAGAGAGGGAGAGGGAGAGGGGGAGAGGGAGAGGGAGAGAGAGAGAGAGAGAGAGAGAGAGAGAAAGAGAGGAATGATCTGTTTTTCCCTGATCACTTAAAAGTGACCGATTGAAGGAGATGAAAGCTTAATAAAATTTCGTATGTAATGCTAAAGGGCGTCGCTCCAGGACGATTTTCAAGTTTACGTTCAAGACAATTCGAAGTTTACGTAAAAAGTGCTAAAATTGACACATTCCAGAATTTTCGATGAATGACTGAAGCTAAGAAAACATTTAAAAAAACGTCTTAGTCAGCGTAAAATTTTCCCAAAAATGAGATCTAGCGCAGATCTGTGATTAAAAGGCTGAGAAAATTTGCATTTCCATTGGCCATTTTTTCGTGCAAAAACCAAGTAGTCGGTTTTTTGATGGGTGTTGTATTTGTTGCTGACTACCCAATTTTTCTTTTAAACATTAAACTAAGTATAAACGGGTCTTTAGCCTGTGGTTTCATAGCCTGAGTCTACCAACGCTGCATATCTAAGAATAGGTATCACCACTTTCCAAATTACCTTAAGGCCTAACCATCCTGGAGTAATTAAATATTCGACCAGGAAAGAAAAGTATTTTTAATGACTTCATCATTCACTCATTTACTTTTAAATTTACATTCTAGCTGATAAGAAAATAATTACAATTTTTATTATTTTATATTCCGGGTTGAAACCGTTTAAAACGAGTCGATATCCTGTTGTGTTTTTCTTTCTGCACAAAACCGATAACCACCTCAAATACCGTCTTAAACCTCGAGCGAATTGAACATTGAAGGCTTACGAAATTCAATACGATTTCGTCTAACCGAGTTTTAAGAGGTGAACGTCCTTGATGTCGGAAAGGGGATCCCGACGCGTAGATATTACGGCATTACGGAATCCGCAGTTTCAGCGTTTACGGAGCAAGGTCAACAGCTGATAAGTTCAAAAACCTTTATTTTCCCACTGGTCCGCCGCGCCGCTCCTCGCCGGGTCCCGCCTATGAAAATAAGCCGGAGAATAATAATAAATCATCTATTCTACGGTTCCTGGCTCGATGCTTTTCTGAATAAGCTTTAGTAAATTTATCCGTCTCGATGATGATGAGGATACTAGAGGGTTTGTCTTCCCCAGACAGTGTAGCTTTCTGGCTGATTGTACCTTCCTAGTTCCCTAGTTCAGTTCAGTCGACTCAATCCTTCTTAGAAGTATTAGGCCGTTGACTGTTGCTGTTACAATTTCATTCCCTAGGTTTTTTTCTGTATGCTAGGTTATGTCTCCATTGAGCCGTTGCTTCGCATTCGATAGATAGATAGATAGATAGATAGAGATAAAGAGAGGGGGTGAGAGAGAGAATATTAGAGAATCTCAAATATTCCAGATCACGGTCTTGATTAAAAAGCAAATTCATTCGTTATTGCCAAGCTTTCGACCTATTTTAATAATTTCTATGAAGTCTTTCTTTGGCTACAGTCCATTGGCATTGGTGCGACTGAGTCGGTTTTCACAGAAATTTGAAATCTTACTTTAAAAAATTCATGTCAATACACATTCAAGATTATTTTGCTCCGATGATGACCTTAACATAGTTTGCAAGCTTGGCAGTAACCACCTTATTAAACTCATTTTTCTCAACGTGAGAAGTCACTTTTTAAAGAGTATTTAATTTTTTTTACTCCAGTATTACTAAGAAAGTGCTGGGTAGCCTCAAATCTTGGGTCAAAAATTCAAGATATTCTAGGAAATTGAACGTTGAGTAAAAAAGAAATTCTATCAATCAAGATCCGAAAACTCTTCAGTACGGAATTAGGGTTAAAAAAACAAGAAAAAACACGTTTTCTGACCTTATTAAACTCGTTTTTGTCAATTTAAGAAGTCTCTTCTTAAATAGTAATTAATTTTTGTTTACACCAGTATTACTAAGAACTGCGTATCCCCAAATCATGGTCAAAAATTCAAGATATTCTAGGAAATTGAACGTTGAAAATAAATTCCATAAATCTGTGTCCGGAAAACCTTCAGTACAGAGCCAGGGTAAAACAATCAAGAAACTCATTCGTTATTGCCAAGCTTTCGACCTATTTTAATAATTTCTATGAAGTCTTTCTTTGGCTACAGTCCATTGGCATTGGTGCGACTGAGTCGGTCTTCACAGAAATTTGAAATCTTCCTTTAAAAAATTCATGTCAATACATATTCAAGATTATTTTGCCTCGATGATGACCTTAACATAGTTTGCAAGCTTGTCAGTAACCAAATAATAGTAAAATTTGTTTTTTCATCAAGGCCTTCATCAAGTGTGCTCGTGAGATAAAATTAGTCGATATATCTAACACTTAAAACGGACTTATTTAACTGACCGCTGTTTTGGAGAAAGATACGGTAACGAATTTTCAGCTGTGAGGCCAACACGAGCCGACGTCCCACAAGGGAACGTCCTTGGTCCCACCCTTTATACCTTTCATACTGCTACATTTCTAGATCACGCATTTTTTCCCTATTAAGTTTGGTGCTTAAAAATGCTTTTTGTAGGGTTTTAGTTTGAACAACAGCTTGACCATTTTCGAAGCCTTTACTGTCTTCATTCTTAGAAATATTAAAGGTCCAGACGTGAATATATAAATTGTAATTACAATTACTTAAGGTTTTTAGTTGAGATGAAAAAAAGTTAATGGCACGAGCGGGATTCGAACCCACGATCTTCGGCTAAATACGCCGCTGCTCTACCACTTGAGCCATCGTGACCTCGATCCACTCGGACACTTCCCATCTCAACCCCACCTTTTCAATTTTTGAGATGGAAAGTTAGTGTCCGAGTGGATCGATAGCTCAAGTGGTAGAGCATCGACGTATCTAGCCGAAGATCGTGGGTTCGAAACCCGCTCGTGCCATTAACTTTTTTTCATCTCAACTAAAAACCTTAATTAATTGTAATGTATTAATTGGTCAAGCGGACCACGAAATTAGTGAATAAATTGTACTATCAATTTTATTATATCGACAAAGACAAATTCCAATTTAGGGATTGAAGGTGTTCGAATTGACCTTGGCCCTTGGTCAGTCGAGTCAGGGAGGTCGGCGAGCCTCCTCGGACCCATGCCAAGGACGGAGAATGTGTCAAACTGTCTGGACGAGGGCCAGAAAAGAAGAAAAGGGGGCGGAAGAAGAAGTTTCTCAAAGAACCGCGTTCCACTTGCAACACTCGACCCTTTATTTTATTTTCCCCAGCGATAAAACACGACGCCAAAAACGACAAATATCATTTATTCAACGAAATAAAGAAACTTGTCAAGCTGCGAATTGATACCAGAAAATGATTAAATAGAGAAAGAAGCATGCTTTAGATTCAATACTTCATAATAAATACATGATTTACAAGAACAGAAATGCAAACTCCCGAAGTATATTTTATTTTTGGTTTAAAAAAATCCGCATATTTACCGCGTGACCTATTCGGCTCAATGTTGGGAAAGATTCCTGAGAAATTTCACAATATAATGGGAGAGATAAGCTTCGGGGATTGCCCTAGAGATTATTGATCGCCTAGTTTCTCTTGAAATTTCAATTTGATTCAAGGTGGCATGTGTTGTCTGGAAGTATGACTCCTTTCATAAGCTGTCTGTTAATTAAGGGGGCCGCTCTCGGGAAAACACTTTTTGAACTATCACGCTGCCAGGAGAATAAATGTCAAAGATGAATTTTCCCCTGGCCTCCGAATAATTGCTGTGACAAGTTGGAAACCCGTGGGCTTTAACTTTCCGCTCCTGAAGGTTGGGCCGTATCGACCTGCACGGTCTTCACGGGCGGCTTCAATTAATCGGGACTTCTGGAAAAACTGGGAAACGTCTCGATCGATTTTTCCCGTTTCGGTTGATTGCGTAACGAGGTATCTGTCCAATAACGTAATTCTTGATAAAAAGCCAATTGGAAAGACACTCCAATCCTTTGGACTGATTGGAAAGTAAAATCTTCCCGCACGTCATTTGAATAATTAACTAGCTACTCGTT